TCTCCAATTGTGTATGAATCAAACTTGGCCATAATAGTAGTCACATCCCTGTGCTCTTCCGGCAAGAATTCCATTGCATTGTAGACTTTTAGTGCATCAGTTCCGATAGAATGCAATAAAGCAGCAGCTTGGTAATTCATCGGGTAATCATCTAGTTGTGAAACAATCACAAAGTTCTGCCACGCCTGTTTCCACATTCTCCAATTATCTGCCAAATCACCCGACATTTTTAGCGGCAATGGAGGTGTCAAATTCGGCAATGGCATTCTCCTGCCGTGCGGTATCTGCAAGCCCACGTGGTCGTCATGTCCGCCCGGTTCACGTTCTTCCTGACCATCCATAATGTTCATCAGTTAGGAAATCGAATGTGAAATCCGTGTGAAATGTTCATTCATTCACCAAAATGCATAATTAATCCAGAATCATCAAAATCCTGTAGTCGCAAACCACGTGCGATACTGCAGAGGTCCGACATTACTCACTCGCTTGGTGAACTGTCTCATCCGTGTAGGCACCCAGCACTACTGACAGCGTCAATTCTAGCGGTAAACATCAACATCAAGTTAATTCCGCACCGTTGCCACCATGTTTCAATATCCCGTGTTATCCAAACACTAATTATATAGACAACAAGAATCGCTTCTGACTTGACACTTTACTCTCGGAGGCCATGATCTTAAAAAGCCCAGATGTACAGGGATCAGTTATTGTACTGGATTGTGATATGATAGGGAGCAGTCATTACCAGATATTGCAACAAGTACCAAGTCTAACACAGCCACGTTACAGTGAGTACCAAGTCTAACACAGCCACGCTACAGTGAGTACCATGTCTAACACAGCCACGCTACAGTGAGTACCAAGTCTAACTCAGCCACGTTACAGTGAGTACCATGTCTAACACAGCCACTCTACAGTGAGTACCAAGTCTAACACAGCCTCGCTACAGTGAGTACCAAGTCTAACACAGCCACACTATAGTGAGTACCAAGTCTAACACAGCCACGTTACAGTGAGTACCATGTCTAACACAGCCACACTATAGTGAGTACCAAGTCTAACACAGCCACATTACAGTGAGTACCAAGTCTAACTCAGCCACACTATAGTGAGTACCAAGTCTAACACAGCCACGCTACAGTGAGTACCAAGTCTAACTCAGCCACGTTACAGTGAGTACCAAGTCTAACTCAGCCACGCTACAGTGAGTACCAAGTCTAACACAGCCACGCTACAGTGAGTACCAAGTCTAACTCAGCCACGTTACAGTGAGTACCATGTCTAACACAGCCACTCTACAGTGAGTACCAAGTCTAACACAGCCTCGCTACAGTGAGTACCAAGTCTAACACAGCCACACTATAGTGAGTACCAAGTCTAACACAGCCACGTTACAGTGAGTACCATGTCTAACACAGCCACACTATAGTGAGTACCAAGTCTAACACAGCCACATTACAGTGAGTACCAAGTCTAACTCAGCCACACTATAGTGAGTACCAAGTCTAACACAGCCACGTTACAGTGAGTACCAAGTCTAACTCAGCCACGCTACAGTGAGTACCATGTCTAACACAGCCACGCTACAGTGAGTACCAAGTCTAACACAGCCACATTACAGTGAGTACCATGTCTAACTCAGCCACACTATAGTGAGTACCAAGTCTAACACAGCCACGCTACAGTGAGTACCATGTCTAACACAGCCACGTTACAGTGAGTACCAAGTCTAACACAGCCACGCTACAGTGAGTACCAAGTCTAACACAGCCACGCTACAGTGAGTACCAAGTCTAACACAGCCACGTTACAGTGAGTACCAAGTCTAACACAGCCACGCTACAGTGAGTACCAAGTCTTACTCAGCCACACTATAGTGAGTACCAAGTCTAACTCAGCCACGCTACAGTGAGTACCATGTCTAACACAGCCAAGTTACAGTGAGTACCAAGTCTAACACAGCCACGCTACAGTGAGTACCATGTCTAACTCAGCCACGTTACAGTGAGTACCAAGTCTTACACAGCCACGCTACAGTGAGTACCATGTCTAACACAGCCCAGTTTTAGTGAGTACCAAGTCTAACACTGCCACATTACAGTGAGTACCAAGTCTAACACAGCCACATTACAGTGAGTACCAAGTCTAACACAGCCACATTACAGTGAGTACCAAGTCTAACTCAGCCACACTATAGTGAGTACCATGTCTAACACAGCCTAGCTACAGTGAGTACCAAGTCTAACACAGCCACATTACAGTGAGTACCATGTCTAACACAGCCACGTTACAGTGAGTACCAAGTCTAACACAGCCACGCTACAGTGAGTACCAAGTCTAACACAGCCACGCTACAGTGAGTACCAAGTCTAACACAGCCACGTTACAGTGAGTACCAAGTCTAACACAGCCACGCTACAGTGAGTACCAAGTCTAACACAGCCACGTTACAGTGAGTACCAAGTCTTACTCAGCCACACTATAGTGAGTACCAAGTCTAACTCAGCCACGCTACAGTGAGTACCATGTCTAACACAGCCACCACGTTACAGTGAGTACCAAGTCTAACACAGCCACGCTACAGTGAGTACCATGTCTAACTCAGCCACGTTACAGTGAGTACCAAGTCTTACACAGCCACGCTACATTGAGTATCATGTCTAACACAGCCACGTTACAGTGAGTACCAAGTCTAACACAGCCACGTTACAGTGAGTACCAAGTCTAACACAGCCACGTTACAGTGAGTACCAAGTCTAACTCAGCCACGCTATAGTGAGTACCAAGTCTAACACAGCCACGCTACAGTGAGTACCATGTCTAACACAGCCACGTTACAGTGAGTACCAAGTCTAACACAGCCACGTTACAGTGAGTACCATGTCTAACACAGCCACGTTACAGTGAGTACCAAGTCTAACACAGCCACGTTACAGTGAGTACCAAGTCTAACACAGCCACGCTACAGTGAGTACCAAGTCTAACACAGCCACGTTACAGTGAGTACCAAGTCTAACACAGCCACGTTACAGTGAGTACCAAGTCTAACACAGCCACGTTACAGTGAGTACCAAGTCTAACTCAGCCACGTTACAGTGAGTACCAAGTCTAACACAGCCACGTTACAGTGAGTACCAAGTCTAACACAGCCATGTTACAGTGAGTACCAAGTCTAACACAGCCACGCTACAGTGAGTACCAAGTCTAACACAGCCACGTTACAGTGAGTACCAAGTCTAACACAGCCACGTTACAGTGAGTACCAAGTCTAACTCAGCCACGTTACAGTGAGTACCAAGTCTAACACAGCCACGTTACAGTGAGTACCAAGTCTAACACAGCCACGTTACAGTGAGTACCAAGTCTAACACAGCCACGTTACAGTGAGTACCATGTCTAACACAGCCACGTTACAGTGAGTACCAAGTCTAACACAGCCACGTTACAGTGAGTACCAAGTCTAACACAGCCACGTTACAGTGAGTACCAAGTCTAACACAGCCACGCTACAGTGAGTACCAAGTCTAACACAGCCATGTTACAGTGAGTACCAAGTCTAACACAGCCACGCTACAGTGAGTACCATGTCTAACACAGCCACGTTACAGTGAGTACCAAGTCTAACTCAGCCACGCTACAGTGAGTACCAAGTCTAACACAGCCTCGCTACAGTGAGTACCAAGTCTAACACAGCCACGCTACAGTGAGTACCATGTCTAACACAGCCACGTTACAGTGAGTACCAAGTCTAACACAGCCACGTTACAGTGAGTACCATGTCTAACACAGCCACGCTACAGTGAGTACCAAGTCTTACTCAGCCTCGCTACAGTGAGTACCATGTCTAACTCAGCCACGCTACAGTGAGTACCAAGTCTTACTCAGCCTCGCTAGAGTGAGTACCAAGTCTAACACAGCCACGTTACAGTGAGTACCAAGTCTAACACAGCCACATTACAGTGAGTACCAAGTCTAACACAGCCACGTTACAGTGAGTACCATGTCTAACACAGCCACGTTACAGTGAGTACCATGTCTAACACAGCCACGTTACAGTGAGTACCAAGTCTTACTCAGCCTCGCTACAGTGAGTACCAAGTCTAACACAGCCACGCTACAGTGAGTACCAAGTCTAACACAGCCACGTTACAGTGGGTACCAAGTCTAACACAGCCACGTTACAGTGGGTACCAAGTCTAACACAGCCACGTTACAGTGAGCACCAAGTCTAACACAGCGACATTACGGAGATTACCAAGTCTAACACAGCCACGTTACAGTGATTACCATGTCTAACACAGCCACGTTACAGTGAGCACCAAGTCTAACACAGCGACGTTACGGAGATTACCAAGTCTAACACAGCCACATTACAGTGAGTACCAAGTCTAACACAGCCACATTACAGTGAGTACCATGTCTAACACAGCCACGTTACAGTGAGCACCAAGTCTAACACAGCCACGTTACAGTGATAGGAAGTACAATGAAATACAGTCATGTTACAGCGAGTATAAAGTACAATGAAATACAGCCATGTTACAGCGAGTATAAAGTACAGTGAAATACAGCCATGTTACAGTGACAGAAAGTACAGTGAAAATAGAGCCATGTTACAGTGATGGGAAGTACGGTGAAATACAGTCACTTACGGGCGAGTATAAAGTCAGATACAGCCTTGTTACCGTAGTAGGAATAAAGTCAAATGCAACCTTGTTACAGTAGTGAGTGAGTGAGTGAGTGAGTATGGTTTTGCGCCGCTTTTAGCAATATTCCAGCAATACCACGGCGGGGGACACCAGAAATGGGCTTCACACATTGTACCCATGTCGGGAATCGAACCCGGGTCTTCGGCGTGACAAACGAACGCTTTAACCTCTAGGCTACCTGACCGCCCCTGTTACAGTAGTAGGAAGCACAGTGAAATGGGCAGTATTACCATGGAACATCACAGATGATTGAATTCATAACAACGTTGAGTGACTCTGATTGTCAAACAGGAAACATGGATGTCCTGGCAACACTTTCCTCCGGCTGGCGGTGTCCGATGGGAGAGGAGTTGAGAGTATCATATATCCCTGAAGCTCTTCTTGGACCCGGTGTTCAGGTACCAAAAGAAGATTTATATGAATAAAAAATGTGTAGTTGATATATTAATGCGCTGATAATCTATTTTGATTTTAATGGCTAGTGCTACAAAATTACTGATAAATATAAATCGAGTGTAACCAGTCTTGATTATGAGCTGGAACAGAATCCAACTGCCGAAAAGGGAAAATAGCAGGGAATAATATATGAATGGATCACTGAAAATCAGTGATGACACCAGGTGTTCGCGAAAAGGGATAAACATGTCCTGCCCTACCAGTAGCACCCGCCATTCATACAATTTGCATAAAAAAGTAAGTATTTATTGCCTGACGCCGCACAGCAGTACCCCTGCCATGCTACGTCAGCCTGTAAACCAACCAGACAATCAAGTGAACGATGAACCAGAAAATCCATTGACACGACAGTTCATTTACTCACTTTGTTGAGGAGTATGTTCAAATGTCTCGGCCCAAACATTACTTTTGTAGTTGACGCGGCACGGCACAGATTAATGAAATGGTACAGAGCATATGATGAAGCACGGGGACTTCAGTCCACCAGCAGTAACATCGCCCCAGTTCAAGTTAATATAAAACATCAATGAAAGAGAAAAACAAATCTCGATTAACCGCCGAAAAAATTCTATTTGTCCTAAAAGGCAAAATATCGGTGAAAATTATATGAATGGATCACTGAAAATCAGTGATGACACCAGGTGTTCGATAAAGGGTATGCATATCCTGTCCAAACGATAACCTGGTTATATCATGGTCACTTTCTGGTTACTTCCACATGCATAAAACTATATTTTCAGGTTTCTTTACAAAGTCATCTTTGACGTTCATTCAGGAACATGGTGTATCATTCATAATTAGTTATTGTTGCAGTACTTGTAACATTCTGAGTCTTAATACTTGTTGGATCTTAAGAAGTTATGTTGATTAAGGTCAGTGTGTAGAAGTAATGTTTATTGATTGGAAGTAGGTGGTGGTATTTCAAGATTGAAAGAATATTTGAGGAAATGTCTGTGACAGGGCTGCTGCTATTTAAGTACTTCCAAACAGCTCCTGGCTACATTACTCTTGCGTCCTATGATCATCTACCAATGAAGCAGCATTCTCAGAACCCTAAGTTCTCTCAGCTCTGTGTTACGTGTCGATTCCCAGATTGGAACAATATTTTAACCCAGAAATCTGTATGTAAAAGAATTCAGAATGAAACCAACAAACAACCACCAAATGGTATACAAGAAACAAATGTATTACAAACTTTACTAGATTTACAAATCAAGAAATGCACAGCAATTACAATGGCAGTACACTATACAGTGTTAGTACAATATTCAATGACAATATATAATATGACAGCATTGGTCAGTATCAAATACAAAAACAATGGTGATAGCAAAAGTCCGTGATAATAATATGTTCACGCAGCACGGACAGTGGCCAAGCTTCCGAGATGGCAGGGAATCGGGGGTGATAAGTGATCTTCACACGAAAGCTGGTTTTGATACTGTATAATGAAATGTGAGATGAGACAGGCACACACCTACTCCACTTATATTACCAAGCATCTTCCAGAAGATTCTACCGAATCTCAACAGAATCAATGTAATACAGTTCATTGTTCAACAATCATTGTTCAACAATACAATACACTGCCATATAACATATGTAAGGGATTGAGCTAGAGTCATGGTACTTTCTGTTCTGTTGTTCCAGTGCAAATACATGTTATGACTGTCTTTCCGAAACCGGAAGTGACATAATCCGAGTATCAATAATTTTGTTATAAATTCAGATGAGGCTTCACAACTTCTTGTTTCAAAGTTCGTATGAAGCGTACATTCTATGCTTATAAACTAAAGTTATAGAAGGTCTTGCAGAAGACACCTGTACTTGGCTGTTTGATGCTACGTGTAAATGTTAAGGTACCAGGACGAGGTCTTGATGCGTGCAGAACTACCGTGCGTGGGTGTGTAGGGTAGGAGAGATAGACCGAGTCCGAGTACCTTAACCGACTTATAAACCAAGGAAATAAATAAGTTTTAACACTCAGATGAACAAACAGCAAGATTTTAATCAAATCGACCCCTTCAGTAGAAATGAAGTTGCCTGATGCGTAAAGGTGTAGATGATGCGTTTCGATAAAGACATACAAACTGTCTAAATGCAAGAAATAACAGAAAAAGTAAGAAAACATTGAGATATGTTATAGTAAAATAATACAATGTGTTGTGGTATAAAAGGAATGCGATGAAAGCATCTTAGAGCAAAAAAAACAACAAACACTTGCAGCATAGACAAAACATCATGGCATCTAAAATTGAACAACCTTTCATCACCTGCTGGGGTAACAAAACTTAACACGATAATTGAGGTTGTAGGTTTGATCCCATTATAAAAAAAATCATTTCTTATCTTCGATTTCAGACTATTTTGACGTTTGAAACACAAAGTCCAAATTGAATCTGCTTTCCAATTCGTCAGATCTTCTTCTTAAAAGTAATACCTCATAATCGGGCGTAGCATAGGAAGTATGTTTTATGGGTTTAAATACAGTTGGGACAGGTCTTTCTGTAACTCCAGATGACCTCATATTAGGTCTCTATGTCTCAGAAAGACCTATTGATCTCAAACATGATATCACAAGGCCTTACTAACAGGTTATGGTAGTTAGGGGTTTATAATTATCTTTCAGAATATCTCGAAAACATAAAATTGATTTCAAATCTATGGCAACTTTTTATAGAAAAATCACAAATGTAATCCACCTCTTATTCGTCCCACATCTTTGTTTTGTTCCAGATGACTGCTCAAGACTTCGACCAGGTCACTGCCAAGATGAAGACTGCAGCCAAGCTGAGTCTGTATTGCTGCAACACAACACCATGCTGTGCCTTCACCTTTGTTATGCTCCTCCAAATGCTGATTGCAGCTGTTATTTTGATGTTCTTCCAACCTGATGATAACGTTACAATGCTTGCTAGTTCCATTGCTTGCTAGTTCCATTATACTACCTCTGGTCACGGTCACGATTTTCTTTGGGCAAAGAATTTGGGTAAGTTTAATGGCTTTGCAATGTACACAAACAATTATCAGCACAGCTTAATAAATAAAAGCATCAATAATAAGTATAAACAGTTAAAAATAATTATAAACTTATACAGTATAATCTTATGCCATGGTGAATGTAGCAGTTGTTGAGTTGAGTTTGAAGGGGGAAAGAAATGCATTGCACGAACAGTCCTTTTTCACAAATCTGTAAGTGCTACATATATACTATGCAAAAGAAGTAAGGGATATTTTGTTTTGAGGTGAAACTTCAGAAAATACACCATTGTCTGGCAATTATAGTAAGTGATTTATCTTGAACGAAGATTTAAAAAAAATCAAGTTCAAAAACATTGTGACAGTCGGACAGCATGTGCAAGGGGGGGGGGGGTATGCCAGATTTATCTTTGTCACTCAGACTCGATTGTAACCTGATGCATATTGCTTGTTTTTTAAACCATACGCTCAATTAACACATTTAATCATTAAAAAAGTAACAGCGTTGATCATGTTTGCAACGTGCTGAATGTTTGCATGTGGGCGCACATCAGAATATTGTTTTTCAAACTTTGATGGTTCTCAATCTGTCATCATCAGATTGTGGGCCTGATACCACCGAACACATAACGAGGCGTCCACGAGACTCTGGACGCCAAAGCACAAATAACTCCAGCACACTACATCTTCCCGAGGCAAGTGAGTTAACTGACTATAACAGTCCAGTTTCCACCCTTACCGAACTAGGCTGGTGTTATGGAATTACATTTTGGCTGGGCTAACGAGTCTATGCATAGTCCAATCAAAATCGCACACCCAAATCGAAATCCGGTTCATAAAGTGTTATGCAGATTTCGGTCGACTGCAGGATTTGCAAAGCATGTGCACCGCTAACTCGTCAACAGATATTTTCTAAATCTTTTCATGTTTTTAATCAAGGTGCTCACGTGATTTGATGCACTTCGCGATGTAAGACTCGTTTTATCACAATATAGATCTTGATTATCGATCAGATCGTCTTGACTGGGCGCCACCGTTTTGTTTGAAGCAAATGCAAGTGATACGAGAGGTTGAATCTGATTGGTCAATAGGAGAGGCATAGAGGGAACATAACTCGTAATAGCCATTGGTGGCGCTATGATCGAGCCCAGGAATTCCAGCCTAGTTCGGCAAGGGTGGAAACATGACTTTTAAAGTCAATTAACTCTCTTGCCTCGGGAAGATGGCACACTAGGGAAAGGGACCGGTTGTAACAAGCAACTAGTGTAAGAGTACATGCTCAGGCGGTTTGAAATCGTCTGCACAGATGCCCACGTGCCATCCCACAACTTACTGCACGTCATTTGAATAAGAGGCGTCGATAGTGTAGGGGACATCAGCACTGGGATCAAGGACGTAGAGCTAATATCATGTTTTGTGAAGAATCAAGGTTCACTCTTGACCGAAGGAATCAAGTTTGGAGAAGTCCTAATGAGCGTGCTATGGACGTTAACTTTGTACAGCATGATCATTTGGTGTTGCACTCCATATTGTCCATGGCAGAGTCAAGGGTCAAAGCTATCGGGACAACATCATTGCTCTTAGTGTCATTTGCACAACTTGTTGGGCAACGTTTCATCTTTCAAGATGATAATGCATGTGATCATCGTGTCAGGATTGTGGCCCAATTCCTCAAACCAGCAAAACATTCTTCTCATGCCATGGCCAGCACTCAGTCCTAACCTTTCCCCAGTTGAACACATCTGGGACGTCACAATCCACTCACCACTCTCCATGAACTCGGTGTTGCTCTCAAATGATTGAAGAATCTTCACTTTTAACAAACGAAAGCATCGGAACATACACTAGATGACCTGGTATATCAGCTGATGTAGTGCCCACATAACTTTATACATTTCTTGAGTAAATTTCAGAGGACTCATCGCCTAAAACAAGCCGTGGTCGCTGTCAACAATGGCCTTATTGAGAACAACGTCCTTGTTGGATTCAAGGCAGCGTGGAGCACCGGTGCAACCTTCAGACTACGGGTAAGTGTTTTTGATTTGTATTGCGGGTGTTGTCCTGAGAGCCAACAGAAATGATGACTTCTTGGTTACAAAGTGTACTGTGACGCTCTGTGTGAGCAGACTCTTGTATACACAGTGTTAAGAGGTGATTTCGACTCTTGCTCAGAAGTTGTTTGATGAAGGTTACGACATTAAAAGCCTCAGTAAAGCTTTCAAAAGGTTTTATAGTAGGCATGGGGAGGACATTTCCAAATCGGACGCATCAATGACAAAAATGATGTCCGATGCAATTCTCTATTTTGACTTGTACCATATGTTCCCGTTTTTTTAGGTGAATAAGTGACTTGCCTTTGCATGTGTTTGTGATGGGTGCCACAGGTGGGGCAGGATACGCTCACTTTTCGCAAACACCTGGTATCTTTACTAATTCTTAGGAATTCATAAACACATGCTCATGATAGTGGCGGAATCGTACAATAGACTCTGCTTCATGCAGAGATTTCTGTTGGATATAGAAAGGGTTTTGTCGCTTTATCACAAACTGTCATGCAGAGGTTAACTCAGAAATCGGTTCTTGCAAACCTAAACTGTGAAATCAGTACTGGACCACAAAAGATCAATTCTGTATTCCACCCAGTCATGTAGTGCCACTGCCAATGTATCCTTCCACCTATCAAGTAGTGCCACTGCCAAGGTATCCTTCCACCCTGTCATGTAGTGCCACTGCCAATGTATCCTTCCACCTTTTGAAGAAGTGCCACTGTCAATGTATCCTTCCACCTATCAAGAAGTGCCACTGCCAAGGTATCCTTCCACCTATCAAGTAGTGCCACTGCCAATGTATCCTTCCACCTATCAAGTAGTGCCACTGCCAATGTATCCTTCCACCTATCAAGTAGTGCTACTGCCAAGGTATCCTTCCACCTATCAAGTAGTGCCACTGCCAATGAATCCTTCCACCTATCAAGTAGTGCCACTGCCAATGTATCCTTCCACCTATCAAGTAGTGCCACTGCCAATGTATCCTTCCACCTATCAAGAAGTGCCACTGCCAAGGTATCCTTCCACCCTGTCGTGTAGTGCCACTGCCAAGGTATCCTTCCACCCTGTCATGTAGTGCCACTGCCAAGGTATCCTTCCACCCTGTCGTGTAGTGCCACTGCCAATGTATCCTTCCACCCTGTCGTGTAGTGCCACTGCCAAGGTATCATTGCACCCTGTCGTGTAGTGCCACTGCCAAGGTATCCTTCCACCCTGTCATGTAGTGCCACTGCCAAGGTATCCTTGCACCCTGTCGTGTAGTGCCACTGCCAAGGTATCCTTGCACCCTGTCATGTAGTGCCACTGCCAAGGTATCCTTGCACCCTGTCATGTAGTGCCACTGCCAAGGTATCCTTGCACCCTGTCATGTAGTGCCACTGATAATGTATCCTTCCACCCTGTCAAGTAGTGCCACTGCCAAGGTATCCTTCCACCTGGTCGTGTAGTGCCACTGCCAAGGTATCCTACCACCCTGTTGTATTGAACTATAGCTTATGTCGAGTAGTAACAAGTAGTACTGCGCCAAGGCCGATGTACCGCCATCCCTGTCATTTGACTCTGTCTGTTTCAGCTAACCTTCTGGTTCTTCGATATGTTGGAATGTAGGGTAAGTATAATACCACAAAGTCATACAGAGATTTCTGTTGGATATAGAAAGGGTTTTGTCGCTTTATCACAAACTGTCATGCAGAGGTTAACTCAGAAATCGGTTCTTGCAAACCTAAACTGTGAAATCAGTACTGGACCACAAAAGATCAATTCTGTATTCCACCCAGTCATGTAGTGCCACTGCCAATGTATCCTTCCACCTATCAAGTAGTGCCACTGCCAAGGTATCATTGCACCCTGTCGTGTAGTGCCACTGCCAATGTATCCTTCCACCCTGTCATGTAGTGCCACTGCCAAGGTATCCTTGCACCCTGTCGTGTAGTGCCACTGCCAAGGTATCCTTGCACCCTGTCATGTAGTGCCACTGCCAAGGTATCCTTGCACCCTGTCATGTAGTGCCACTGCCAAGGTATCCTTCCACCCTGTCATGTAGTGCCACTGATAATGTATCCTTCCACCCTGTCAAGTAGTGCCACTGCCAAGGTATCCTTCCACCTGGTCGTGTAGTGCCACTGCCAAGGTATCCTACCACCCTGTTGTATTGAACTATAGCTTATGTCGAGTAGTAACAAGTAGTACTGCGCCAAGGCCGATGTACCGCCATCCCTGTCATTTGACTCTGTCTGTTTCAGCTAACCTTCTGGTTCTTCGATATGTTGGAATGTAGGGTAAGTATAATACCACAAAGTCATACACATAAGATGTTTCCGTAAGAAGAGGACACATATGTTTAGTTACCAGTAACTGTCTGATCTCCCACCAGATATCAGGTAACAGTGTGTACTATGTGTTCTGTCGTGACATGTCAGTATGTAACACACTACTAACAAACCAAAACAACAAACTATTGAACATTCAACAGAAGATGTTGCATCCATGTCATGGGTATTTTGGTTTATGAATAATTGAATGTTGTATTTAAAGGAAATGAAGTAGTGTGTCCAGGGGGAGGTAACTCCTACTACCCCAGCGTCAGCTGGTAGTATGAAGAGATGTCTTTACCGTTCGGAGATTTGTAAAATGAGAATGCTTGAAAGTAAAGTCCATAAGTAGCTGTCAGGTGCCCATGTACTTTACAAATGTGAAGAATATGTTTGATTGTCTGATTGTAAAACTTCCTTTTGTGCTTGGTTTATAAAACCTGGAAGAATTTCAATGAGTAAAGATTTTCCAGGTATAAAGTGGTTCCACGGAAAGTTTTCTATGATCATTTAAGACAAACAGTTATTATAAAATAAGACTTATTTTCTGGGATTGACGTTTTGAAAATAATAACTGGGCTGTCCATTTACAAATATTTACAAGCACGCAGATACATTAAGGTTTTCCCAAAGTTAAAACTCACTCCTTTAATATATTACGTGTACTCTGTACTCTGTACTCTGGCAGAAACATCTGGAAGGAATATTGGCCATGATATCCAACCCAGGAACTTCACTTCAGCCGGATTCATCATCAGTGTCTGTGAGTATACTTCACATATCTGAAGAAACTTTTCAGCTCCTCCTTCTCACCTTTCAGTGGATGAGCTCCTGTTAGTTAGTACTGGCCTGGCTGCACACAACCCTATACAACACACGAACACACACAACCCAACACACCACACAACCCCACACAACACACGAACACACACAACCCCACACAGCGCACAACCCCACACAACACACACAACCCCACACAGCGTACAACCCCACACAACACACGAACACACACAACCCCACACAGCGCACAACCCCACACAACACACGAACACACACAACCCCACACAGCACACAACTCCACACAGCACACGAACACACACAACCCCACACAGCACACAACCCCACACAACACACGAACACACACAACCCCACACAGCACACAACCCCACACAACACACAAACACACACAACCCCACACAGCGCACAACCCCACACAACACACGAACACACACAACCCCACACAGCGCACAACCCCACACAACCCCACACAGCATACAACCCCACACAACACACGAACACACACAACCCCACACAGCACACAACCCAACACAACACACAATCCTACACAACCCCACACAACACACAACCCCACTCAACACAACACACGATTCCACACAACACAACCCCACACAGCACACAACCCCACATAGCACACAACCCCACACAGCACACAAGCCAACACAACACAACCCCACACAACACACAACCCCACACTGGTACAACTCTCTCTCTAAGATGAACCAGTCCACTAGACCAGTGCTTGCTACAAAGCTCAGCTACACCAGTCCACTAGACCAGTGCCTGCTACAAAGCTCAGCTACACCAGTCCACTAGACCAGTGCCTGCTACAAGGCTCAACTACACCAGTCCACTAGACCAGTGCCTGCTACCAGGCTCAGCTACACCAGTCCACTAGACCAGTTCCTGCTACAAAGCTCAGCTACATCAGTCCACTAGACCAGTGCCTGCTACAAGGCTCAGCTACACCAGTCCACTAGACCAGTGCCTGCTACAAGGCTCAGCTACACCAGTCCACTAGACCAGTGCCTGCTACAAAGCTCAGCTACACCAGTCCACTAGACCAGTGCCTGCTACAAAGCTCAGCTACACCAGTCCACTAGACCAGTGCATGCTACAAAGCTCAGCTACACCAGTCCACTAGACCAGTGCCTGCTACAAGGCTCAGCTACACCAGTCCACTAGACCAGTGCCTGCTACAAAGCTCAGCTACACCAGTCCACTAGACCAGTGCCTGCTACAAGGCTCAGCTACACCAGTCCACTAGACCAGTGCCTGCTACAAGGCTCAGCTACACCAGTCCACTAGACCAGTGCCTGCTACAAAGCTCATATGTCCTGGATTTGTTGGTTATCATTCATGGCTTTCACGAACACCTGGTGTCATCATTGATTTTCACTGAGCCGTTCATCACTATTTGGCCTTTTACGAAAAATGGAATCTGTTTCGGCAGATAATCAAGATAATTCTCTTGGGTCACGTTTTTTGTGTGCATTTTGTTAGAGGGGAATACAAAGGGTCGAGTAGTAAGACCTCGATGACGTGGGTCGTTTCTCTGGTCCACAATCAATACACAGGCCTCTGCGATACAGATGGAATGTTGCTGACTGCTGTGTAAAACAACATTCACTCCACTATTCCAAGCACATAGTCAGCGTGATAGGTTTGATGATAAAGTACTCATTCTGATATTTCTCCAAATTTCAGGATCAGGCGATGGATCTTTTGTGCCGCTCCAGCGAAGCCTACACCACTGCCTATCAACGTGGTCATTTGAAGGTCAAAGATGATGTCAGACACGTCCGCCATGCTCTGTGTCTGTGTCAGTTTGTAGAGAAAGAACATGTCGGGAAACTTACGGCCATCCCACCGGAAGTCGTGTGAGTTGAGGCTCAGCGTAAACAGACGTACTGACAATGGCCTATGGGTTGACGGTGAGCAGGTAGAAGGTGTTGTGACATTCAGGATGCCGGCGTGAACCGGGGCATCTGGACATGACAAGGTCGCCATGTGTGTTATTCACTTCTACAATATGTATGTCATCGTTAGTTGCTGTTGGATGTCACAGAACATTTGTTTGGTTCCTGAGTCACGGGCGGACCTATTGTTGACCGAGAAAGGAAATGTGTATGAAGGCATTTGGGTGGAGGATGCCAGCTCAAAGCAACAGACCAGATTATCAAGATGACAGAGACATGTACCTCACTCACACTGATTGGTGTTTGTCCTCTTTCCTCAAACAGGCCACTGACAAGACCGTCAACAGTGTTAATTATAATTACAACTATGACGTCACTCTGTTGCAGTGGCAGTGTTTTATATATATGTTTATTTTCTGTATTTTATATATCTGTATACATATAATGTTTTGAAAAGAAATGATGTTTTTACTTTTTACTGCATTAAATTGAATAAACCTGTACAGCTGCTGTACTCTACAGCACTGCTTTCAGCAGAATAATGACTTATCTGTGTGTGGAGTTTTCTTTTATACTTCTACTGGCTGTGGGGCGGGGCAGGTAGCCTGGGTCGGTCCTATGTTTGATACAGCTTACGCCTGATTTGTCTTGTCTACACAACTATAGAAAGGAATGAGCGGCAAGTCATACATCTACATCTTCAGGAGGGGGAATACAGGCAGAATTCTTTTCATATTTTTTACCGTCGTCAATAAACCCGCCTTACTTACAACGACCCGTGTTATTTGTGAACACACCCAGGTACACTGTCTTAGCTGCTGAGTATCTGTAACGATGTGACACTTTACTGACCTACTTTACTGACCTACTTTCTGCAATGCAAATTTGAAGCTCGTGCATTACGAATGCACTGGCAACATCACTCAAAGCGCACATAATGCACGAGCAGTACGAAAACACGGGCTAGTGCATATTTCCGTGCAGCATTGCGTTGTGTTCAGTTTCATTGATTGCATGATGTTTTTAAAGTTCATGTTGATGACGCAGTAGTTTGTTACTGTGATGCTGTACTGTAAGTCAGATAGCGTACACGGCACCGGAATGTCCCGCGCTTACCTTAACTTAAGAAATACTATATAAGAAACGCCCAGTTTGAATGCGAATCAAACACGTCAAGCAGATACTCTTTGCTCAACAATCCCCTGATTTGCCACTTAACCATACCTCACTACATCAAACTGCGAAATCCGACGCATGTTTGGCTAACACCCCGGGACAGTGGGCAGATTGCACAGATCTTTGACAATGATCGAGGTCATTAGAAAAAACAAACACATAAATAAGTGTTTTACATGATCTCCAAATTTATTAAATATCTCTATTCTCAACCTGTCACAGAACATCTTTGCTTTGGGACAGCTATGTCATCATTCGTATGATTATAAATTCTTGTCAAATGTCTGACACTAATGCCTATATGTCTAACACTTGTTGTTTCTGAAAGTTTTTTGCAGATAGAGCTGATTGACATATTCTTTATTATGCATATGAAACTATTTGAACAAATGGTAAAATGTAGTGCATGTCGTAAATATATACTAGCCACATAAAGAAACTGTGCACGGAGAAAATATATTCTGGATTGAAATACAACACAGCAAGAACAACATGATGCAGACGCTGTAGCAGCTGAATGATCGGACCATAAGAAAATGTCAACGGGACCTGAACAACATCTGTTACAATGACGTCAGAAGATCAAAATGGGGTAGGGGATCAAACGACAAAGTCACAAAGTCAATAACGGGTATGACCACCCTGTGCGTGAATCACAGCAGTGCATCGGCAACGCATGGAGTCCACCAAATGGGCATGGAAGGCCTGGGGAATGGCCTGCCATATCCTCCTCAAATCTTGTGCCAAGGCACGGACGTTATCTGGAGGATGTGGAAGACGACGCAGACGGCGCTCCATTTCATCCCACACATGCTCTCTTGGGGAGAGATCTGGAGAATTTGCAGGCCATGGCAGTAACATGACATTGTTATGGTGAAGGAAATCCATTGCGACCCTAGCCGTGTGAGGACGAGCGTTGTCCTGTTGAAATGTCAATCCCGGGCCATGACGTTGCAGGAAAGGAATGACCACAGGCCTTAGAATCTGATCTCTGTAGCCAACACCGGTGAGATTGCCCTGAACAACCACCAAAGGGGTTCGGTGCCGTGCTGTTATCCCACCCCAAATCATCACAGAGCCACCTCCAAAACGATTCCTCTCCACAATACAGTTGCGTGCATAACGTTCTCCCAAACGCCGGTAGACACGTTGGCGCCCGTCACTGTGGGAAATGTTGAACCTCGATTCATCTGTAAAGACAACATTTCTCCACCATATTCGAGGTTGGCGAACATGATTTCGACACCATCTTAGACGGTTGACTCGATGACGGTGTGTCAGGATGGGACGTATGGCAGGGCGTCGTGGTCGAATCCCGTACTGACGTAAACAATTCCTGACAGTGTTCGGATGGATACGGCGCAGTCCAGGAATTGTCTGGGACGTCGTTACTGCCGTTTGGAACCTGTGTCGGAGATGTGTAAATCGAATCCATCTGTCCTGTCTTGGCGTGGTTACTCGGGGAGGTCCTGAACGTGGGTGGTCTGCAACGTCATTTGTGTTCTGATAACGCCTCACCAATGCCGATATCGTGTTACGATGGCATTGGAAATGTGTTCCCACCTATTGTTGCCTCATTCCCGCTCGGATCATTTCAATGGCTTCATGACGCTGTGCAGCTGTCAATCTTGGCATGATTTGCTTGTGATATGCTTGTGTCTGCGCCTGAGAAGTTTTGAATTTTTGAATGACCACAGATCATGCTTTCCAAAGTGACCGCGACTTTTGAGTTGCACATGCTGTGTACAGCTGCACAGTATGCACATGCAGTAACACAATGCACGTCCATAGGCCCCCATCAATGACGTCATATCGCATGGCACGTGCATGAGCGTTTGAATGTCTCCAATAATTGCTGTGTTCAAACCTATATTTCATATATGGACGGTGTGCCCTTATATCTATATTTTCTCCGTGCACAGTTTCTTTATGTGGCTAGTATATATCCCCATGCATGAAACGCTTTGAGTTGAAACTGTTATGAAACTTCAACTGTTTGGGTATTACAAGATACATGATACAAGATACAAGAATATTTAATTAACGTCGGTTGTGGGGGAAAACAAATACATATTTAGCTCTTCAGAGTGGGGGCACGGGTGGCCCAGTCGTCTTTGTGGCCGCGATTCGCTGTGCAGAGTTGCGTCCCTTGGCCACGCCAGAAACCTATGATTGTGGGTTCGAATCCCGGTTCGCCCCGATTATGTTTCTAGGTTTGTCTGCACCATACCCGTGCTCGTGGGTTAACCGAAGTGGTAAGCGTCTGAGACCTGCATCAATTCGGGCTATCCTCCCACATTAAGCTGACACGCCGTGATATAACTGGAATACTGTTAAAAGCGGCGTTAAACCCGACTCACTCACTCACTCTTCAGAGATATTTTCCCGGCATGACATAAAACAATAACACGGGCAGAGGATGTACAGGAACTATAGAGTGAATAAGAATTAAAAAAACATAGCAGCATTCGGGCGACTATTCTCGCCCCAAGAAGCCTAATACGCAAACGACTTTAGCCCTTAGGTTGAGGATTTATCCAGGGGGATCTCCGCCATTATTTCCTGCGTGAGGGTAAAGGTCGGTTGTTTTAAGGTTATAAAGTTTTGAATGCAACTTGGAATTCTTTGCGACAATTTTGAACAATTCCCGAGCCATGTCCTTTAAGCTATTGACATAGAGAAAGTTAGAGCCATTATTTCAGAAGTTCGGAAAAGGGACTGTAATTAAACTTAGATATTGTGAAGGTTTTGCAAATAACAATCTTCCCCTGCCTGGTGAGGCGACGGCGCATGCGTCTCAATACTGCTGGTTGTTTTGCGGCCTTTCTGCATATTTCAGCAATGTGGCTTTTATACGTTAGCAAGGTGGCTAAAGTCACACCAAGCAGGACAACACTGTCATCTCAAGCTAAACTGAGGGCCAAAAGAAACGTTACCAACATTAACTGATTTACCACTTTATAACAAAGATGCCAACCTGTTCAAAAACAGTAAAGAACACATCTCACGAATACAGCCTTCATGTTCTCTGTTGTTCTTTGCACGTGCTTTGTGGATTTTGGGAGACATTGGTGTTTTTCAGCATTTTTTTAAAACATTCTTTCCCAAAGTATCGTGCAATTTCTGGGTATAAATTAAGCACGGATCTGTTCCCTATCATTGGTTGCGATGATTAACACCAACGAACATGCCAAGACTGACCGCTGTCCAGAGGGAGAGAGCCACAGGTATGCTGCACATGGGAGCGACACAGAGAGCGGTTGCCATTAACATGAACTGCTCCAAGATGACCATTACCAGACTGGTCGCACGTCTCCGACAGACTGGTAGAACCGCAGACAGACCACGTGCCAGATTGACGTGGTGCAGGCAAACTCAGCGATGGCAACAAAGGGAGTGCTGTTTTGTGACGAGAGCAGGTTCCAACTCTTCAAACCTGATGGGCGGACGCGAGTTTATCGACGACGTGGGGCACGTACGGCTCCTTGCTGTGTCCAGGAGGTGGAACCTTACGAGGGCGGAAGTGTGATGGTCGGGGGCGGCATTTGCAGTGCGAGAAGACGGAACTTGTCAACATCGAAGGCAATCTGACACCACAACACTACATTGACAATATCCTACGGCCAGTGGTTCTTCCTTTCATCCAGCGTCACCAACGGACGGTGTTCTAACAAGATAAAGCCACACCCCATAAAGCCCGTATTACTAGAGACTTCCTCAACTACATCAACGTGACTGTCCTGCCGTGGCCAGCTCGATCACCAGATCTGTCACCCATAGAACACCTCTGGAACTAGCTGGGGCGTCGTCTTCGGAAACGTCAACATCCTCCCTTGACGAGACAGGCGTTGATCGTTGCGCTCAGTGAGGAATGGAATCGGATACCTGCAGTCGATGTGAGGACGCTTGTCTACTCACAAGCGCATTCGAAGATACATTGCCGCTCATGGAGGTCATATCCCGCATTGAACGGTTTTGGCCGTCGTCACCTTAAAGTTGTAACCAATGTTGTTGATCGAATACTGGACGAAATACCCCTTGTCAAGAAATGTCCCTGTTGGAAGTCAAGGACTTTATTGTTGAAGTAGTAAATTCGCATTTTACTTTTCTGAATGATGAATTTCTACAAAACAATTGCTGCTTCAAATATTTGCTTCGCCATATTTTATCCTAGAAATATCGTTGGTAACGGCTTTTTGGCCGTCAGTTTAGTATCCCGAAAACAAAAGCTACCGCTTCATGACCATGTCCAATATACCCCCAACATCATTACATTACACCCGATATTTCCAGTACAGTTAAGGGAAGCGTATTCACAAACGAGATAAATACCACAGGCATAGGGCGGTCCGGTAGCCAAGTGGTTAAAGCGTTCGCTCGTCACGCCGAAGACCCGGGTTCGATTCCCGACATGGGTACAATGTGTGAAGCCCATTTCTGGTGTCCCCCGCCGTGATATTGCTGGAATATTGCTAAAAGCGGCGTAAAACCATACTCACTCACTCACTCACAGGCATAATTAGGAGCCCATTTCAATTGTGGAGTGCTGACATTAACTGGGTGGTGGAACACATGACCTAAACCCTTATAGTCCAAAACCTGTCGTTACAAAGTTACGTGCAATTTCGGTAAATAACGTCGCTTCCAGATTAATTAATTCATGTCCAAATCATTGGGAATATACACATCCCAAATGCAACACTAAGTCATTTATAGAAAGGCGCATGCCTCATACACTTGATTATGTATAGTTGGAAACATTGATGCCAAACCAACCATGCCACACCAACCCATCATGGTAGCTTCCATTCCTGATCTTTAAATGAAAATCCCAGAAACATAACACTAAAGTGCCTAACCGTGAGTTTGACGTACAGAATGTATGTACCCATTATATCCAACTGCAAGAAGCACTTCTTGAGTTTTCATGAACTCAGTGCCTACTGCAGGAAGCACTTCTGGAGTTTTCATGAACTCAATACCTACAGCAAGAAGCACTTCTGGTGTTTTCTAGAACTCAATGCCTACAGCAAGAAGCACTTCTTGAGTTTTCATGAACTCAATACCTACTGCAAGAATTTCAAGAGTTGTGGAGGTAGCAACGATTATTTACCCACGCGCTACATAAAGCAATATGAAAAGTCTGTAGTTGTCCCTTTCCGCGACCAGTGTTCGTTTCCCATTTCATTAATATGGGAAAACACACAGAGATGTCCTTTGATATAATGATGTATAGAGTGACCAGTAGGAGTCATTCAAAGTAAAAATAATAAATGTATTACAGCAGCTTTTGACGTAGTTACATTTATTTACCCACACGCTATATACAAGCTATATGAAAAGTCTGTAGTTGTCCCTTTCCGCGACCACTGTTCGTCTCCCATTTAATTAATACCGGAAAACACACAGGGATGTTTCTGTTTTTATAATGATGTGTAGATGGTCCAGTAGGAGTCATTCATAGTTAAAATAATAAATATATTACAGCAGCTTTTGAGGTAGTGACAATTATTTACCCACACGCTATATACAAGCAATATGAAAAGTCTGTAGTTATCCCTTTCCGCGACCAGTGTTCGTCTCCTGTTTAATTGATAGTTGAAAACACACAGCGATGTTTCTTTTATATAATAATGTGTAGACGGTCTTCTAGGAGTCATACATAGTAAAAATAATAAATATATTTCAACAATTGTGGAGGTAGTGACCACTATTTACCCACACGCTATATGCAAGCAATTTGAAAAGTCTGTAGAAGTCTCTTTCCGCGACCAGTGTTCGTCCCCCATTTAATTGATGATGGAAAACACACAGGGATGTTTCTTTTATATAATAATGTGAAGACGGTCCAGTAGGAGTCATACATAGTAAAAAGTAATCGTTATATTTCAACGGTTGTGGATTTAGCGACGATTATTTACCCACATGCTATATGCAAGCAATCTTAAAGTCTGTAGTTGTCCCTTTCCGCGACCAGTGTTCGTCTTCCGTTTAATTGATATTGGAAAACACACAGGGATGTTTCTTTTATATGATAATGTGGTATAATACAATTGTTTGTTTCTTTTTATATTTACGGCATCTAACAGATCGCTGTACACATTATTAGAAAAGAAATAGACTTGGTGGGGGTAAAGGCAATGATTGTCTCATACTCTATATATATATGCAAGGCAATCGGAACAGTCTGTAGTTGTCCCTTTACCAGACCAATGCCCGTGCCCCGTACACAATAATATTTGTATCACACTATTTATGTGGTATAGTGGCGATAATTTTACCACAACCTGTGCCTGCCAATATGAACAGTGTGTAGTTTTCCCTTTCCCAGACCAACGTTTCATTGATGTGTGAAATACACAAGAATGTTTCTATTATATAAAAATGAATTTGTGTAGAGTGACCAGTAGGAGTCATACATATATAGTGACCAATCAGTGGCTTGAATATACAAATGATAATTGTATTAAACCAGTTGTACGGGCTTGCGGCGCTGATTTACGCACATACAAGGCAATAAGATTCTGTTATTGTCCCTTTCCCAGACGCCCGTTTGCGCCACGTATAAAATGTGGCAAAATATGCAAGGCTCTTCTTTGATAATGTGTAGGGTGGCTACAAAGAATACATTCTGAAAAACGTTGAATAGATTAAAGTGAGTCAGCGTCGATGCCACTGGCTTCGAATACCCCCAAGCTGTAAAAATGTATTTTTCCATATATTTAATCATTTATATGAGAATTCGACGATACATGATATAGTGGAAAAGCTAATATTAAGTCAAGATTCCACTTTGATAGAAATTATCTAAATCCGATAGTGAACAGAAAATATTGTGCAAAAAAGTGAGCCAACAAGTATATCTGTTTTCTTCTCAGATGACGTACCACTTTTGATAGCAACGTTTGTCTCTAGAAAAAGGAAAAAATAGGGATCAGAGTAAAATAAAGTGGCCTGTGTTCTAAAAAGTTCGGCTATCGTTTGTCAGCTATATTTGTGACTGCGAGAATGTGTATGAAGAAAATGTATGTATAATGTCCGTTCTAGTACCTATTCAAACGGATTTTACAAATGTGCATATATTTACTGGTTTAGGGTAGTGAGATACATTACCACGATGTCTAAAAAGACTGAATCAAATCACAGATGATCTCAATCTTTAAATGTGTTAAAATTGTATGCGCTTCATCGAGTAAGTATATATACATATTATATATATAAGAATACTGCGTTCGTAATATTTATTCAGACAAAAATGTATGGAATTGTTATAATTTGACTGGGATTTGTCTATTAATAGCCGCGCATTTCGTATTGTCGTGCGGAAGCTTAAATACAGTATAGTTGAACTACACGCGCGAGTATTACAGGCATACCTCTCGATAAACGTAGCTCTGAGGCCTTGTGTGGGGAAGGGACGTATACTGACTCGATTACCATAGGAGGTTCGTGGAGAGGAAGGTGAAAAGATTCTCAAGGCACAAGTCTTCAAGTATAACATGACTTATTCTCTCGACTGCAAACTCCCTATTTTGTGTTATAGTGTGAATTATAAAACATATTTACATTAACTATCAGGGTATGTTCATATCTGAGGTAAAATGAGGAACACCACACCAACCAAACATCTACAGGGAACATTTCTCGTCGACACCGTATATCTGGGGACTTCCCACGTCACATTGTAAATTGACGAAGTAGCTGTAGAACAGTAAACCGGTAGGATACATGTAAGATTTTGTGGCAGTGTTGTATATTTGTATATTTCATAAAGGAAGAAATCTTGTATATTGTAATGAAATGATGTTTTAACCTTTTACTGTTGCATTAAATTGAATAAATAGAGCATATTTCATGTGTCGAGTGAAATATCATCGAGTGAGGGCGGGGAAAGGAAATATTTTTACGAGTGGCGTAGCCACGAGTGAAACTTCAATCCTTTTCCCCCGCAACGAGTATAAGTAATAACTAATCTCTGAGTGGCTCTGGTATTGGCTCCCTGTCTACTGGGTATTGGCTCCCTGTCTGCCGGGTAATGGCTCCCTGTCTACTTGATATTGGCTCCCTTTCTACTGCGTATTAGCTTCCTCTTTACTGGTATTGACTCTTTCTCTATTGGATATTAGCTCCCTGTCTACTGGATATTGGCTCCCTGTCTACTGGGTATTGACCCCTGTCTACTGGGTATTGACTCCTTCTATCTTGGGTATTACCTCCCACTCTACTGGGTATTGGCTCCATGTCTACTAGAAATTGCCTCCCTCTCTACTGGGTATAAGATCCCTCTCGACTGGGTATTGGCTCCCTGTCTACTGGATACTGGCTCCCTCTCTACTGGGTATTGGCTCCCTGTCTACTGGGTATTGGTCCCCTGTCTACTGGGTATTGGCTCCCTCTCTACTGGATATTAGCCCCCTCTCTACTGGGTATTGGCTCCGTGTCTACTAGGTATTAGCTCCCTGTCTACTGGGTATTGGCTTCCTCTCTACTGAGCATTTGCTTCCTCTCTACTGCGTATTGGCTCCCTCTCTACTGGGTATTGGCTCCGTGTCTACTGGGTATTGGCTCCCTGTCTACTAGATATTGGCTCCCTCTCTACTCGGTATTGGCTTCCTCTCTACTGGGTATTAGCTCCCTGCCTACTGGATATTGGCTCCCTCTCTACTGGGCATTGGCTTCCTCTCTACTGGGTATTGGCTCCCTGTCTACTTGGTATTGGCTCACTGTCTACTGGACATTGGCTCCCTCGCTACTTGGTATTAGATCCCTCTCTACTGGGTATTGACTCCTTCTCTATTTGGTATTAGCTCCCTCTCTACTGGGTATTGGATCCCTGTCTACTTGATATTGGCTCCCTCTTTACTGAGCATTGGCTTCCTCTCTACTGGGTATTGGCTCCCTCTCTACTGGGTATTGACTCCTCTATTGGGTATAAGCTCCCTCTCTACTGGATATTGGCTCCCTCTCTACTGAGCATTTGCTTCCTCTCTACTGCGTATTGGCTCCCTCTCTACTGGGTATTGGCTCACTGTCTACGTGATATTGGCTTCCTATGTAGTGGGTATTGGCTCACTGTCTACTAGGTATTACCTCCCTCTCTACTAGGTATTGACTCCTTCTCTATTGGTTATTACCTCCCTCTCTAATGGGTATTGGCTCCCTGTCTACTGGATATTGACTCCCTCTCAACTGGATATTGGCTTCCTCTCCATTGGGTATTGGCTCCTTCTCTACTGGGTATTGGCTTCTTCTCTATTGGGTATTAACTCCCTGTCTACTGGGTATTGACTCCCTCTCTACTGGGTATTGGCTCCCTATCAACTGTATATTTGCTCCCTCTCTGCTGGGCATTGGCTTCCTCTCTACTTGATATTAGCTCCCTCTCTACTGGATATTGGCTCCCTGTCTACTGGGTATCGGCTCCCTGTTTACTATATATTGGCTCCTTCTCTACTGGGTATTAGCTCCCAGTCTACTGGATATTGGCCCCCTGTCTACTGAGTATTGACTCCCTGTCTACTGGATATTGGCTCCCTCTCTACTGGATATTGGCCCCCTGTCTACTGAGTATTGACCCCCTGTCTACTAGGTATTGACTCCTTCTATCTTGGGTATTACCTCCCTCTCTACTGGGTATTGGCTCCATGTCTAATAGATATTGGCTCCCTCTCTACTTGGTATTGGACCCCTGTCTACTGGGTATTCGCAACCTGTCTACTAGATATTGGCTCCCTCTATACTGGGTATTAGCTCCCTCTCTACTGGGTATTGGCTCCCTCTCTACTGGATACTTTCTCCCTCTCTACTGGGGATTGACTTCCTCTCTACTGGGTATTAACTCCCTCTCTACTAGGTAATGGCTCCCTCTCTCCTGGATATTGGCTCCCTCTCTACTGGGCATTAGCTTCCTCTCTACTGGGTATTGGCTCCCTCTCTAATGGGTATTGGCTCACTGTCTACTGGACATTGGCTCCCTCTCTACTGGTTATTAGATACCTCTCTCTATTGGGTATTGGCTCCCTGTCTACTTGGTAAAGGCTCCCTCTCTACTGGGTATTGGCTCACTGTCTACTTGGTATTGGTCCCCTGTCTACTGGGTATTGGCTCCCTCTCTATTGGGTATTGGCTCCCTGTCTACTGGGTATTGGCTCTCTCTCTCTCTCTTTACTGGGTATTTGGCCCCTGTCTACTGGGTATTGGCTTCCTCTCTACTGGGTATTGGATCCCTGTCTACTAGATATTGGCTCCCTCTCTACTGTTTATTGGCTCCCTGTCTACTGGGTATTAGCTCCCTCTCTACTGTGTATAGACTCTTTCTCTATTTGATATTTGCTCCCTGTCTACTGCGTATTGGCTCCCTGTCTAATGGGTATTGGCTCCCTCTCTACTGGATATTGGCCCCCTTTCTACTGAGTATTGGACCCTTGTCTACTGGGTTCTCGCTCCCTCTCTACTGGGTATTAGCTCTCTCTCTACTGGGTATTGACTCCTTCTCTATTGGGTATTAGCTCCCTCTCTACTCGGTATTGGCTCCCTGTCTACTGGATATTGGCTCCCTCTCTACTTGGTTCCCCCTTTACTGGGTATTGGCTCACTGTCTACTGGATATTGGCTCCCTCTCTACTGGGTATTAGATCCCTCTCTACTGGGTATTGACTCCTTCTCTATTGGGTATAAGCTCCCTCTCTACTCGGTATTGGCTCCCTGTCTACTGGATATTGGCTCCCTCTCTACTTGGTATTGGCTCCCTCTCTACAGGGTATTGGCTCACTGTCTACTGGATATTGGCTCCCTCTCTACTGGGTATTAGATCCCTCTCTACTAGGTATTGACCCCCTCACTATTGGGTATAAGCTCCCTCTCTACTGGGTATTGGACCCCTGTCTACTGGGTATTCGCTACCTGTCTACTGGATATTGGCTCCCTCTCTACTGGGTATTAGATCCCTCTCTACTAGGTATTGACCCCCTCACTATTGGGTATAATATCCCTCTCTACTGGGTATTGGCTCCCTGTCTACTTGGTACTGGCTCCCTCTCCACTGGGTATTGGCTCCATGTCTTCTAGATATTGGCTCCCTCTCTCCTGGGTATTGGACCCCTGTCTACTGGGTATTCGCTACCTGTCTACTGGATATTGGCTCCCTCTCTACTGGGTATTATATTCCTCTCTACTGGGTATTTGCTCCCTGTCTAATTGGTATTGGTCCCCTGTCTACTGGGTATTGGCTCCCTCTCTACTGGGTATTGGCTCCTTGTCTACTGGGTATTGGCTCTCTCTCTACTGGGCATTAGCTCCCTCTCTACTGGGTATTGGCTCCCTGTCTAATGGGTATTGGCTCCCTCTCTACTGGATCTTGGCCCCCTTTCTACTGAGTATTGGACTCTTGTCTACTGGGTTCTCGCTCCCTCTCTACTTGGTATTAGCTCTCTCTCTACTGGGTATTGACTCCTTCTCTATTGGGTATTAGCTCCCTCTCTACTCGGTATTGGCTCCCTGTCTACTGGATATTGGCTCCCTCTCTACTTGGTATTGGCTCCCTCTTTACTGGGTATTGGCTCACTGTCTACTGGATATTGGCTCCCTCTCTACGGGGTATTAGATCCCTCTCTACTGGGTATTGACTCCTTCTCTATTGGGTATAAGCTCCCTCTCTACTGGGTATTGGACCCCTGTCTACTCGGTATTCGCTACCTGTCTACTAGATATTGGCTCCCTCTCTACTGGGTATTATCTCCCTCTCTACTGGGTATTGGCTCCCTGTCAACTTGGTAGTGGCTCTCTCTCTACTGGGTATTGGCTCCATGTCTTCTAGATATTGGCTCCCTCTCTCCTGGGTATTGGACCCCTGTCTACTGGGTATTCGCTACCTGTCTACTAGATATTGGCTCCCTCTCTACTGGGTATTATATCCCTCTCTACTGGGTATTTGCTACCTGTCTACTTGGTACTGGCTCCCTCTCTACTGGGTATTGGCTCACTGTCTACCTGGTATTGGTCCTCTGTCTACTGGGTATTGGCTCCCTCTCTACTGGGTATTGGCTCCTTGTCTACTGGGAATTGGCTTCCTCTCTACTGTCTATTAGCTCCCTCTCTACTGGGTATTGGCTCCCTGTCAACTTGGTAGTGGCTCTCTCTCTACTGGGTATTGGCTCCATGTCTTCTAGATATTGGCTCCCTCTCTCCTGGGTATTGGACCCCTGTCTACTGGGTATTCGCTACCTGTCTACTAGATATTGGCTCCCTCTCTACTGGGTATTATATCCCTCTCTACTGGGTATTTGCTACCTGTCTACTTGGTACTGGCTCCCTCTCTACTGGGTATTGGCTCACTGTCTACCTGGTATTGGTCCTCTGTCTACTGGGTATTGGCTCCCTCTCTACTGGGTATTGGCTCCTTGTCTACTGGGAATTGGCTTCCTCTCTACTGTCTATTAGCTCCCTCTCTACTGGGTATTGGCTCCCTGTCTGACCGGGAATTGACTCCTTCTCTATTGGGTATTACCTCCCTCTCTACTGGGTATTGGCTCCCTGTCTACTTGATATTGGCTCCCTCTCTACTGAGGATTGGCTTCCTCTCTACTGGATATCGGCTAACTCTCTACTGGGCACCGTCTCTCTGGCTACTGAATGTTGGCTCCCTCTCTACTGGGTATTGGCCACCTGTCTATTGGGTATTGGCTCCCTCTCTACTGGGTACTGACTCCTCTATTGTGTATTAGCTCCCTCTCTACTGGATATTGGCTCCCTCTCTACTGGGCATTTCCTTCCTCTCTACTGGGTATTGGCTCCATCTCTACTGGGTATTGGCTCACGGTCTACATGATATTGGCTCCCTATGTAGTTGGTATTGGCTCCCTCTCTACTAGGTATTACCTCCCTCTCTACTAGGTATTGACTCCTTCTCTATTGGGTATTAGCTCCCTCTCTACTGGGTATTGGCTCCCTGTCTACTAGATATTGACTCTCTCTCTACTGGATATTGGCTTCCTCTCTACTGGGTATTCGCTACCTGTCTACTAAATATTGGCTCCCTCTCTACTGGGTATTGGCTCCCTGTCTACTGGATACTGTCTCCCTCTCTACTGGGTATTGACTTCCTCTCTACTGGGTATTAGCTCCCTCTCTACTGGATATTGGCTCCCTCTCTACTGGGCTTTAGCTTCCTCTCTACTGGGTATTGGCTCTCTCTCTAATGGGTATTGGCTCACTGTCTACTGGTTATTAGATACCTCTCTACTGGGTATTGGCTCCCTATCTGACCGGGAATTGACTCCTTCTCTATTGGGTAATAGCTCCCTCTCTACTGGGTATTGGCTGCCTGTCTCCTTGATATTGGCTCCCTCTCTACTGGATATTGGCTTCCTCTACACTGGGTATTGGCTCCCTCTCTACTGGGTATTGGCCCCCTGTCTACTGGGTATTGGCTCCCTCTCTACTGGGTATTGGCTCCCTGTCTACTGGGTATTGTCTCCCTCTCTACTAGATATTGACTCTCTCTCTACTGGATATTGGCTTCCTCTCTACTGGGTATTCGCTACCTGTCTACTAAATATTGGCTCCCTCTCTACTGGGTATTGGCTCCCTGTCTACTGGATACTGTCTCCCTCTCTACTGGGTATTGACTTCCTCTCTACTGGGTATTAGCTCCCTCTCTACTGGATATTGGCTCCCTCTCTACTGGGCTTTAGCTTCCTCTCTACTGGGTATTGGCTCTCTCTCTAATGGGTATAGGCTCACTGTCTACTGGTTATTAGATACCTCTCTACTGGGTATTGGCTCCCTATCTGACCGGGAATTGACTCCTTCTCTATTGGGTAATAGCTCCCTCTCTACTGGGTATTGGCTGCCTGTCTCCTTGATATTGGCTCCCTCTCTACTGGATATTGGCTTCCTCTACACTGGGTATTGGCTCCCTCTCTACTGGGTATTGGCCCCCTGTCTACTGGGTATTGGCTCCCTCTCTACTGGGTATTGGCTCCCTGTCTACTGGGTATTGTCTCCCTCTCTACTAGATATTGGCTCCCTCTATACAGCGTATTAGCTCCCTTTCTACTGGGTATTGCCTCCCTCTCTACTGGGGACTAGCTTCCTCTCTACTGGGTATTAGCTCCTTCTCTACTGGGTATTAGCTCCCTCTCTACTGGGTATTAGCTCCCTCTCTACTGGGTATTAGCTCCTTCTCTACTGGGTATTAGCTCCCTCTCTTCTGGGTATTGTCTCCCTCTCTACTGGGTATTGTCTCCCTCTTTACTGGGTATTGTCTCCCTCTCTTCTGGGTATTAGCTCCCTCTCTACTGGGTATTGTCTCCCTCTCTACTGGGTATTGTCTCCCTCTTTACTGGGTATTGTCTCCCTCTCTACTGGGTGTTAGCTCCCTCTCTACTCGGTGTTAGCTCCCTCTCTACTGGGTATTAGCTCCCTCTCTACTGGGTATTGGCCCCCTGTCTACTGGGTATTATTCTCCCTCTCTACTGGGTATTATCTCCCTCTCTACTGGGTATTGGCTCCCTCTCTACTGGGTATTGGCTCCCTCTCTGCTGGGTATTGGCTCCCTGTCTATCTGGTGTCGGCTCCCTGTGAACCAATTACTATGGTTGTTGGGTCCCTCGTTACCAAGTTACAGACTTACGTCCCTAGGATCATCGCTGAGGTTTTCCATTTTCAATAGCCCTGTGAAGATTCCAAGGTAGAATAGGTCTTCAGCAACCAATGCTTGCCGTAAAAGGTGACTAAGGGCATCGGGTGGTCAGGTTCGCTGACTTGGTTGATGCATGTCATCGATCCCAATTGCGTGGATCGATGATCGATGCCTGTGAAGATTACGTGGTAGAATAGGTCTTCAGCAACCCATGCTTGCCGTAAAAGGTGACTAACGGCACGGTTGGTCAGGTTCGCTAACTTGGTTGATGCATGTCATCGATCCCAATTGCGTGGATCGATGCTCATGATATTAATCACTGGATTGTCTGGTCCAAACTCGATTATTTACAGGCCGCCGTCATATTGCTGGAATATGGCTGAGTGTGGCGTTAAACAACAAACCAACCAACCATTTTCAATATGGCCGCAACAATTTCCTCTGTCAATTATTTTCAAAATGTAATGAACATGGCATGTGTATAGTTAGTAGTGGTGATTGACACATATGTTCGGGATATTCCATATTTTGACCTCAATTTGACATGGCCACCACAGCAGCCATATTGAAATACCTAATCATGGCCACTGCACAGCTGTTTATTCCAACAATGTAATGTAATGCCCTCAAAAGTCATTTTTGGCGCTGTAAAAGAATTGTCTGAAATTGTGTCCTGTTTCTGTCCTTATCATGATAAGTGTTTTTCGTGTGTCATAACTGGAATCATTGTATGACATCAGAACAATTATAAGGCTCAGAGTTGAAAAATATGTTCTGTAAAATAAATTTTATTGTTGTGTATTACAACTATGTTATATAAAAGGTTTTGAAACCTTGTGGAAATTTATTTACCTGTTTCAGATGTGTTAATACAATTTTCCTTGGATGCCTTACTTCACAAATTAATATAAATAATACAAATGTGATAGAATGCTGTATCGTTATCCTAACACATTGTAGGAACATTTAGAGGAATCACCGAGTAGGTAAATAATAAATGGTAGTGTCATTATAATATGTGAAAACTTTAATTACCTCTTCAGCCTTAAAGCTGAACCCGCAGAGAAATGGACACAGAACAGCTGATAAGTTTCTCGGATGATGAGATCGAAGGTGGGAATGAAGGGGGTGCAGAGTTGCCGCAAACCCTCCGAGGTCCCTCCCTGGATGAGGCAGCTGGATGGGGGTTGGACCTGCGCGTCTCACACGAGGACAACGTGGACATCGGAGTGGACTTCCGAGAACAGACGTCTCTACCACCCAATGCTCGCCTGGACACACTCAAGGAACACGTGTGGAGATCGACTACAGAATCAGCATCTGAACTGGAAGCCACAGAGAGAAAATTTGTAAATGCTGATGAGGAAGGTCACCATTTTGACCCCAGCGTTCATCATACTGATGTTGTCATTGTTGATGAAGTCACTGGCATCCAAACACGACATGGAGTGTCTGAGAACCAGCGTCCAGGGAGTATCAACACAAAGCAAGACAACCCATGTCCGCCATCTGTCCAGGATGAAAGTAGTTCCTGGCGACCCCCAGTCCCACCAGATCCAGTGTTGACTGGCATCGCTCCACCTTTGTTGGAAGGGAAGAAGTATCACGTTTTCTTCTCCTATGAATTAGCTGACCGAGACTGGGTCGACATGGTCAGGCAGAAATTGGAGGCCCCGGAATTCGGATTCAGGTGCAGCGTCCACGAACGAGACTTCCATGGCGGCAAGGGCGTCATTGAGAACATCACTGAGCACATCCGTATTTCTGAGAAGACTGTGATGGTTCTGACGCCTGACTTCACTCAGAGCCGCTGGTGTATGTTTGAGGTTGAGCTGGGGATGATCCTGAGCCTGGAAGAGCGTCAACTCCTGGTGATCCCAGTGTTGGTGAAGGACTGCCCCATCCCAGACAGTATCAAGACTCTCACGTACATAGACGCTTCATCTGGTAACGAGTGGTGGCAGCGCTTCATAGATGCCATATTGTCAAGAGGTAGAGCTGCTTTAGATATATGATTCAGCAATGTGATAAATGATAGTTATAACTGATTCGGAGTTTACAAGTAACTGTGCTTCATAATAAAGTGGTGTAAATGTTATGTTATTAAAAATAACATAATATTTGGTCATTCGTCTGATCGATGTAATATCATAACAATGCTGTAGTTTACGTATCCAGAGAGAAAATATTGTGTTTCGAGGAACATTAAAATGTCTGGCAACATTGTTTTGCGCCATTCCTGATGGCAGCAGACACACGGCGGGTAGACGTTGATGTTCAGCAAGCCGTTGCATTGCGAAAGCGTTATTTTCGGTTAAACAAAAGTGTTTTCATAACCACATGTTCGCTAAACGATCATTGTGTGCTGTTTTCTTTCAAACACCACGTGTGTGAGTATCATGCTCCCAACAAACTCACAAACACCTAAATTATGCGCCGTGCATTATCATCCACGTGCACATTTTGGATCACGTACTTAAAGTCGAGATGTATTCATGTACATGTATTGAAACATGTATTTCAATTTCATCATAAATTTATTTTTATGTTACTATTTTTTCCGTTAGTAAACATTAATAGAGCATGATTTTAAGCTCTCCTTGTTATCGTCAAGTGAGCATGTCACAGCTCTTCTTCAGTTGTCCATCCGTCGGTCCATCTTTCCGCCCGTTCATGAACTTTTTTATCCTCATCTTCGGAACATGTTTAATAAACTTCGAAAATGTGTTCCAACTATCTCCGACTGCAACAACGAACACATTTTACTTTATAAAAATCAAGGATGATCCTTCCTTATGGTGAACTAAGGTTGTCCTTTCGACACTTTCAAAACAAATATCCTTAAAAAACCTTACAATATATTTTTACCGAATGATCACTATATTGTTGTCATTCTTTAAACAATCCGATATTTCTGGTATATGATTGGTTGGCTTTGAAGGACAAGGTCACTACTATGGCACCACCAGCTTATGGCCTACATAATGTGTGTATTTTTTTGGCAGGATATTATTCACCTTAAAGCTTGCAGTGAACTTTGCATGAATTTTGGTCAAGGTCACCAGAATTATAAAATCAGGAAACTGTTGGCAATGAGAAATTTTTTTTACTTCTAAACTATAAGTTTATCCTCATGTATAACTTCATTCGTGAAAGTATTCATTGAAAACTACAACAGGAATGAGTATTCATGAACACATGCTGATGACACAGTAGGACTTGTACAATGGACTCAGCTTCTTGCAGAGATTTCTTTCCATTATGGAATTGTTTTGTCGCTATTTTTGTCACACGCATGGTTGATAACATGTATATAGTACAAATGCTCAAATACGTTTTTGCTGCACTTTAGCTCGTGACTTATTTTTTATTCTATTTTGGTTCGAAACAAAATCAATATAATAAAACAGAATATTTGTTTTGGTGTAATTGTATAGAAATGTTTGCAAATATATAAAAACATTCCAAAATCATTAGCAATCTCTGGTGAGAGCAGAATCATGAATTACTATTTAAGAATCACTGTCAAATAGTGATGATCCCAGGTATCCGTGAAAAGTGAGTGTATCCTGCCCAACCGATGGCACCATCACAAACACATGCAAAGGGAAGTCAAGTGTTCACCTAAAAACACGGTACATATGGCTAAACGGTACAGTTGAACTTGATTGTCTCGACAGCAAATTTCCGAAACCTAAACATGTTATGAGAGATTACTTGTAATCTAGTCTAGTTTGTACCACGTTTCAAGGTCGATAACCATATTGTAACAAATGATGGAATATTGTGTGCTTGGACTCGATTGTTCTTCACATTAATCTGCTCTTGTTAGGTGTAGCAAAGTCTTATCTATTGTGGATTGTTACTCACTGCTATCAATGAAATATGACTAAATTCAGGGAACTGGAAATTATCAATATAACATAATTGTATCCAGCTTGGAATGGAATCGTTGAGACAGACTGAGTAGTGTGGTGCATCTCAAACCACCAGCCTCAGATGACGTAAAGAAGGTGAGCTTCCGTATCCCTGGTGCCTTGGTTGTATTGCGTTGTAATCAGTGTATGTGACACATTCCTAGCTAAACATTACTCTAATGTTCTAACAATCATGTTGTAATCAGTGTATGTGACACATTCCTAGCTAAACATTACTCTAATGTTCTAACAATCATGTTGTAATCAGTGTATGTGACACATTCCTAGCTAAACATTACTCTAATGTTCTAACAATCCTGTTGTAATCAGTGTATGTGACACATTCCTAGATAAACATTACTCTAATGTTCTAACAATCCTGTTTTCTGATATGTGAACATATTTACCCATTGTATATCAGTTACAGAACTTGTATATGGTTGCAGAGGAGGTGGTCAGTTTCTCTGGGACCAGGGAGATAGCTATTCAGCCTCGCTACAGTGAGTACCATGTCTAACACAGCCACGTTACAGTGAGTACCAAGTCTAACACAGCCACGTTACAGTGAGTACCATGTCTAACACAGCCACGTTACAGTGAGTACCATGTCTAACACAGCCACGTTACAGTGAGTACCATGTCTAACACAACCACGTTACAGTGAGTACCAAGTCTAACACAGCCACGTTACAGTGAGTACCATGTCTAACACAGCCACGTTACAGTGAGTACCATGTCTAACACTGCCACGTTACAATGAGTACCAAGTCTAACACTGCCACGTTACAGTGAGTACCATGTCTAACACAGCAATGTTACAGTGATAGGAAGTACAGTGAAATACAGTCATGTTACAGCGAGCATAAAGTCAGATACAGCCTTGTTACAGTGCATAGACATGGAAGTACACCCATGTTACAGTAGTGAGTGAGTGAGTGAGTGAGTATGGTTTTGCGCCGCTTTTAGCAATATTCTAGCAATACCACGGCGGGGGACACCAGAAATGGGTTTCACACATTGTACCCATGTCGAGAATCGAACCCGGGTCTTCGGCGTGACAAACGAACGCTTTAACCTCTAGGCTACCCGACCGCCCCTGTTACAGTAGTAGGAAGCACAGTGAAATGTGCAGTATTGCCATGGAACATCACAGATGATTGAATTCATAACAACGTTGAGTGACTCTGATTGTCAAACAGGAAACATGGATGTCCTGGCAACACTTTCCTCCGACTGGCGGTGTCCGATGGGAGAGGAGTTGAGAGCATCGTATATCCCTGAAGCTCTTCTTGCACCCGGTGTTCAGGTACCACAAGAAGATTTAAATGAATAAAAAAATGTGTAGTTGATATATTTATGCGATGATAATCTCGTTTGGTTTGAATACCTAATGGTAAAAAATTACTGATGAATATAAATCGTAGCACCCGCCATTCACACAGTTCGAGAAAAGGGTAAGCATGTCCTGTCCAAACGATAACATGGTTATATCATTGTCACTTTCTCGTTACTTCCACATGCATAAAACTATATTTTCAGGTTTCTTTACAATTCCTATTTGGCGCCATGTCCGGCAATGGTCAAAGTCATCTTTGAGGTTTATTCATTCATTATAAGTTATTGTTGCATTTCTACTTGTTCCATTCTCAGTCTTGATACTTAAGAAGTTATATCTGTGACAGGGCTGCTGCTATTTAAGTACTTCCAAACAGCTCCTGGCTACATTACTCTTGCGTCCTATGATCATCTACCAATGAGGCAGCATTCTCAGAACCTTAAGTTCTCTCAGCTCTGTGTTACGTGTCGATTCCCAGATTGTTACATAATCTGTTAGACCTGATAGCTCCCGTGTTGACAGGGCTGATGTCAAGGGACATATGTTGACTGCAATAAGAATCTGGTATCTAAGACCGGAAGCGACATTATCCGAATCTGAAGTACTCTTTGCTCTGTAAGAAATGGTACTTTATGCTCTGTTGTTTCAGTACAGAAAACATGTGTAAGACAAAAAACCGATTTCTTTTCCGAAACCGGAAGTGACATATTCCGAAACGAGAGTATCAATAATTTTGTTACAAATTCAGCTAAGGCGACAGATTTCCAGTTTCAAGGTTCGTATGAAGCCAACTTTCGTGTTACTCAATCTGAGGTGAACAAATGTCTACGCTTATAAACTAGACTCTAGCAGATGTTTGATGCTGTATTTGTCTTTAATATCTTTCTAAAATATCTCGAAAACGTGAAATTGATTTCAATTTCATTGAAACTTTTTCAAGAAAATCCCACATCTTTGTTTTGTTCCAGATGACTGCTCCAGACTTCGACCAGGTCACTGCCAAGATGAAGACTGCAGCCAAGCTGAGTCTGTATTGCTGCAACACAACACCATGTTGTGTCTTCACCTTTCTTGGGCTCATCATAACGCTACTTATGGACGTTATTATCCTTTCCTTATATAGATGTGTTGATGGCTTTAACATATTTGCCTGTTTAACTATACCACTACCTTTCATCATGGTCATGGTATTCTTTGGGCAAAGAATTTGGGTAAGTTTAATGGCTTTGCAATGTACAAAATCAATTATCAGCATACCCTAATACATGAAATCGACAATAACAAAGTATAAATACTTATGTATAATTATAAATAATTATAATTTTTAGAAAGTTTAATCTTATGCCGTTGTGAGTGTAGCAGTTGTTGAGTTTAACAACAGTTCTTTTCACAAACGACAGATACATTTTTCCAGAATTTAATTGCCCATAATTAAGAGTGCATATAACAAACGAGTGCGTATTATACGCGAATAAATAAGTCTTGTGTACATTGATCAATCAGAAGGAGTGCTAATTGGGATTGTTCACTAGCCAATATATTAGCAAATATCGCTGTGGGCGCTTATTAGAGCGGGGCGCTTATTACGTCGAATACGGTAATCTTTAAGGAAGCAACAGCATTGATCATGCGACTTGCTGTACGTTGACGTGCCATAGGCATGTTGCAGTAGGTTGGACGTCAGAATGTTGTTGCCAAAACGCTGCATGTTTCTCCATCGGTCCTGAGCAGAGTGTGGGCCAGATACCAACAAACACATAACGTCGCTGATCGGGGCTCTGGGCGCGCAAGGGCAATAGCTCCAACCCAGGCAGATTGGTCAGTGGTGAAGGGAACGTCAGCGCTGGGATAATCTCACGTTGGGCTAATATCATGTTTTCTGAAGAATCAAGGTTCACTCTCGACTTCCGTGACCGAAGGAATCGAGTTTGGAGACGTCCTTCTGAGCGTGTTATGGACGTTAACATTGTACAAGATGGTCGTGTTCTGGAGTCATAGGTAAATATTATCGGGACAACATCATATGCATTGCACCACTCGTGATGCTATTTGCACAACTTGTTGGCCCACGTTTCACCTTCCAAGATGGTAATGACCGTGCTCATCGTGTCAGGACTGTGACACACTGGGGCGTCAGTGGCAGACGTTTACGTCAACGTCAAAATCCACCTACCACTGTCGATGAACTCGGTGTTGCTCTCACTGATGAGTGGAACAACGTGAGTACAGCTGGTATTGGTTGACTTATCAGAAGCATGCCTCGGAGAATTCATGCACAGGTGGTTTTACCCGATACTAGGGACGTTGTCAAAATGCAAACTTCGAATTTGACCCCCGGGTTCTTTAATTACCTATTGAGCCACCCTCTCATCACACCTACCATTGTAGAACCCGCTATGACCGCCTATTACACAGGAGATTTGATTATACCATTTCCATTTGCCAATACTCTATAGATCAGAAGACGTCTTTGATGATTCTCTACTTGTCTTTGCGTAGTATATATGATGTCCGACCCGTGAAGATTCCGGGGTAGAATATGTCTTCAGTAACCCATGCTTGCCGTAAAAGGTGACTCTGCTTGTCCTAAAGGCGACTAACGGGATCGGGTGGTCAGGCTCGCTGACTTGGTTGATGCATGTCATCGATCCCAATTGCATGGATCGATGCTCATGATATTAATCACTGGATTGTCTGGTCCGGACTCGATTATTTACAGACCGCTGTCATATTGCTGGAATATTGCTGAGTGCGGCGTTAAACAACAAACAAACAAACAAACAAACAAGATATGATGTCTGGGCCACAGAGATGGTTTTTTTAGCGATATTAGTGACATTGGCTGAAAATTACAAATTTCGAATTTGAACCACGACCTCTTTAACGACCTAGTCTTCTCATCTTCTCATCACACCAACCATGAGCACCATTAGATCAGATCGCCTACTCCCCAGCAGATATGATCATATCATTTCATTTGCCAATGCCATATGGATCAGAAGATATGTCTTGATGATTCCCACTGTCCCCTACTTTTTTGGCATAGTATATTTGTGTATGATTATGAACTGCCATAAAATGAAGCTTCTTTTTCTGTAAGAACTTGATCTGCATTGCCGTTGGACAGTAGGTTATTATGAACAGGTATGTTTTGAACAATATTTTTTAAGGATGCTAAACATACTTACACGCTGATGAGTAAACAGTGTACACTACATTAGATTACAGTTCTGGTGATCTTTTATACCAATTCTATGTAAATCATAATTTATTTGACTTCACATGTATCTCTGTTTTGTATGTAAGATATTGTATTTTGTATTTGGATATGAGAAGTACGCAGGTGACGTGGGGTGATGCTTTTTTAAAGAATTAAAATTTTTATTTTAAAAAAAATAGAATTTCGAAAGTCGAGGGGGGGAAATATTCACACGCATGTGAGGTATGGTACCGAAGGACAAAGGCCAATTACAATAAGAAGCTGTACGCATTGGTGTACCGAAATATGGCCCCAGGCATTCATTGTATTACAAAAATGTTTTCTACAACATTAATCATTATATGGCTCCGTCCTATCTGAAAGATATTCTACCAAAAACTGTCTCAGTCTCAGATACTCTGAAAACACCAGTCTTCCCGTCACAAGACCAAATAGTTGTTCAGAGATTGAAGACATCTAAAGTTTTAACAAAAGAAAGCATCGCAACGAGACCGGAAGTTGGATATCATCCTTTCTATATCCTAAAGCAGACCATTGATACATATACTAGATGACCGGGTTTCTCAGCTGATGCAGTGCATATATAACTTTATTCATTTCCTGAGTAAATTTCAGAGGATCAAGCGTCTAAAACCAGCCGTGGTTGCACAAAACAGTGACCTCGTTAAGAACAAATGCCTTGTTGGATTCAAGGCTGTGTCGACCCCCTGTTCCACCCTCAGACTACAGGTAAGTGTTTATGATTTGTATTGCGAGTATCGTCCTGAGAGCCGACAGAAATGATGACTTTCTGGTTACGTGTACTGTGACACTCTGTGTGATGCCGACTCTCGTATACTCTCGTTAAGAGGTGATTTGCAAACTGACAAGCAGAGGTTAACTTAGAAATCGGTTCATGCAAAACTAAACTGTGAAATCGGTATAGTATCCTTCCACCCTGTCATGTAGTGCCAGTCCTATAGTATCCTTCCACCCTGTCATGTAGTGCCGCTCCTATAGTATCCTTCCACCCTGTCATGTAGTGCCACTCCTATAGTATCCTTCCACCCTGTCATGTAGTGCCAGTCCTATAGTATCCTTCCACCCTGTCATGTAGTGCCAGTCCTATAGTATCCTTCCACCCTGTCATGTAGTGCCAGTCCTATAGTATCCTTCCACCCTGTCATGTAGTGCCAGTCCTATAGTATCCTTCCACCCTGTCATGTAGTGCCAGTCCTATAGTATCCTTCCACCCTGTCATGTAGTGCCAGTCCTATAGTATCCTTCCACCCTGTCATGTAGTGCCAGTCCTATAGTATCCTTCCACCCTGTCATGTAGTGCCACTCCTATAGTATCCTTCCACCCTGTCATGTAGTGCCACTCCTATAGTATCCTTCCACCCTGTCATGTAGTGCCACTCCTATAGTATCCTCCCTATAGTATCCTTCCACCCTGTCAATCAATCATTCTTTATTCATGATAGTGATGAGGCCAAAGGCCTATAGTACATTGTCTGGGGCGTGTTACAAATTCATACATTTTCTTAGTTTCATTGCATGATAAATGAACATTGATACATTTCTCATAGTTTCTGTACAAAGTCATTAATTTACAAATTTTGTTACCTACAAAGTCTATGTTCTCTTGCAATACATTTAGATCTGCCTTTTTCAATAAATAGATCATGTGAGCCAGAAACGAAATCAAGAAAGAGCTGTTCTTAACTTATGTAAATTTACACTTAATTGATAAGGTTCTAGTATAATAGTATTCTTAAATGTAGTGTAGCAATTTGCTTTTCTAGAATCGGGCTTATTTTTGTATCAAATATTTCAAAGTAAACATCATATGTAATGTTCAGAACTCTAAGACTTTTTAATATCCCTACAAAAAAGTTCTTGGCTTGCAATGAAATGTTAAGTGCATGTATCCTTCGTCCCTGTCATGTTGTATAACTGCCACTGCCAAGGTATCCTTCCACCCTGTTGTGTAGCGCCACTGCCAAGGTATTCTTCCACCCTGTTGTGTAGCGCCACTGCCAAGGTATCCTTCCATCCTGTTGTGTAGCGCCACTGCCAAAGTAATCTTCCATCCTGTTGTGTAGTGCCACTGCCAAGGCATCCACCCTGTTGTGTAGCGCCACTGCCAAGATATCCTTCCACTCTGTTGCGTAGCGCCACTGCCAAGGTTTCCTTCCACCCTGTTGTGTAGTGCCACTGCCAACGTATCCTTCCATCCTGTTGTGTAGCGCCACTGCCAAGCTATCCTTCCACCCTGTTGTGCAGCGCCACTGCCAACGTATCCTTCCACCCTGTTTAAGTAGCGCCACTGCCAAAGTATCCTTCCACTCTGTTGTGTAGCGCCACTGCCAAAGTATCCTTCCACTCTGTTGTGTAGCGCCACTGCCAAAGTATCCTTCCATCCTGTTGTGTAGCGCCACTGCCAACGTATCCTTCCATCCTGTTGTGTAGCGCCACTGCCAACGTATCCTTCCATCCTGTTGTGTAGCGCCACTGCCAACGTATCCTTCCATCCTGTTGTGTAGCGCCACTGCCAAGGTATCCTTCCACCCTGTTGTGTAGCGCCACTGCCAAGGTATCCTTCCACTCTGTTGTGTAGCGCCACTGCCAAGGTATCCTTCCACCATGTCATGTAGTGCCACTGCCAATGTATCCTTCCACCATGTCATGTAATGCCACTGCCAGTGTATTCTTCCACCCTGTTGTTTAGTACTATAGCTAATGTTGAGTAGTAACAATGTAGTATTGTCGAAGCCGATGTACCGTCATCCCTGTCTGTTTCAGCTAACCTTCTGGTTCTTCGATATGTTGGAATGTAGGGTAAGTATAATACCACAAAGTCATACACATGTGTTGTTTCCTTAAGAAGAGGACACATATGTTTAGTTACCAGTAACTGTCTGATCTCCCACCAGATATCAGCCAACAGTGTGTACTATGTGTTCTGTCGTGACATGTCAGTATGTAACACACTACTAACAAACCAAAACAACAAACTGTTGAACATTCAACAGAAGATGTTGCATCCATGTCATGGGCATTTTGGTTTTTGAATAATTGAATGTGGTATTTAAAGGAAATGAAGTAGTGGTTCCAGCTAGTAGTTTGAAGAGTTCAGAGATGTCTTTACCGTTCGGAGATTTGTAAAATGAGAATGCTTGAAAGTAAAGTCCATAAGTAACTGTCAGGTGCCCATGTACTTTACAAATGTGTATAATATGTTTGATTGCCTGATTGTAAAACTTCCTTCCTTATTTTCTGGCATTGACGTTTTAAACTGGGCCGTCCATTTACTAATATTTACCTGCACGTGTACTCTGTACTCTGTACTCTGGCAGAAACATCTGGAAGGAATATTGGCCATGATATCCAACCCAGGAACTTCACTTCAGCCGGATTCATCATCAGTGTCTGTGAGTATACTTCACATATGTGAGTATACTTCAGCTCCTCCTTCTCACCTTTCAGTGGAGGATCCCAGATCAGTGGAGGAGCTCCTGTTAGTTAGTACTGGCCTGGCTGGACACAACCCTACACAACACTAGAACACACACAACCCCACACAACACACAACCCCACACAGTAACACAACCCCACACAGCACACAACCCTACACAGCACACAACCCCACACACCACAGAACCCCACACAGCACACAACCCTAAACAGCACACAACCCCACACAACACACAACCCCACACAGCACAATACCCCACACAGCACACAACCCCACATAGCACACAACCCCACACAGCACACAACCCCACACAACACACAACCCTACACAGCACACAACCCTACACAGCACACAACCCCACACAACACACAACCCCACACAGCACACAACCCCACATAGCACACAACCCCACACAGCACACAACCCTTCACAGCATACAACCCTACACAACACACAACCCCACACAACGCACAACCCAACACAGCACACAACGCCACACAGCACACAACCCAACACAGCACACAACCCCAAACAACACACAACCCCACTCAGCACACAACCCTACACAACACACAACCCCACACAACATACAACCCTACACAGCACACAACCCTACACAGCACAGAACCCCACACAACACACAATCCCACACAGCACACAACCCAACACAGCACACAACTCAACACAGCACACAACCCTACACAGCACACAACCCCACACAACACACAATCCCACACAGCACACAACCCAACACAGCACACAACCTAACACAGCACACAACCCTACACAGCACACAACCCCACACAACACACAATCCCACACAACACACAACCACACACAGCACACAACCCTACACAGCACACAACCCTACACAGCACACAACCCTACACAACACACAACCCTACACAACACACAATCCCACACAGCACACAACCCCACACAGCACACAACCCCACACAGCACACAACCCCACACAACACACAACCCCACACAACACACAACCCTACACAGCACACAACCCAACACAGCACACAACCCAACACAGCACACAACCCTACACAGCACACAGCCCCACACAGCACACAACCCTACACAGCACACAACCCCACACAGCACACAACCCCACACAGCACACAACCCCACACAACACACAACCCCACACAACACACAACCCTACACAGCACACAACCCAACACAGCACACAACCCAACACAGCACACAACCCTACACAGCACACAGCCCCACACAGCACACAACTCTACACAGCACACAACCCTACACAGCACACAACCCTACACAGCACACAACCCTACACAGCACACAACCCCACACAGCACACAACCCCACACAACACACAACCCTACACAGCACACAACCCCACACAGCACACAACCCTTCACAGCACACAACCCTACACAGCACACAACCCCACACAACACACAACCCCACACACAACACAACCCCACACAGCACACAACCCCACATAACACACAACCCCACACAACACACAACCCCACACAGCACACAACCCTACACAACACACAACCCCACACAGCACACAATCCTACAAACACACAATCCTACACAACACTCGAACACACACAACCCTACACAGCACACAACCCCACACAGCACACAACCCCACACAGCACACAACTCCAAACAGCACACACTCCTACATAACACACAATCCTACACAACACACAACCCCACACAACACACAACCCCACACAGCACACAACCCCACACAGCACACAACCCCACACAGCACACAATCCTACATAACACACAATCCTACACAACACACGAACACACAGAACCCCACACAGCACACAACCCAACACAGCACACAACCCCAAACAGCACACACTCCTACATAACACACAATCCTACACAACACACGAACACACACAACCCCACACAGCACACAACCCAACACAGCACACAACCCCAAACAGCACACACTCCTACATAACACACAATCCTACACAACACTCGAACACACACAACCCAACACAGCACACAACCCCACACAGCATACAACCCCACACAACACACACTCCTACATAACACACAACCCCACACAGCACACAACCCAACACAGCACACAACCCCAAACAGCACACACTCCTACATAACACACAATCCTACACAACACTCGAACACACACAACCCAACACAGCACACAACTCCACACAGGACACAACCCCAAACAGCACACAATCCTACATAACACACAATCCTACACAACACACGAACACACAGAACCCCACACAGCACACAACCCCACACAACACACACTCCTACATAACAAACAATCCTACACAACACACAACTCCACACAACACACGACCCCACTCAACACAACACACGATTCCACACAACACAACCCCACACAGCACACAACCCCACACTGGTACAACTCTCTCTCTAAGATGAACCAGTCCACTAGACCAGTGCCTGCTACAAAGCTCACCTACACCAGTCCACTAGACCAGTGCCTGCTACAAAGCTCACCTACACCAGTCCACTAGACCAGTGCCTGCTACAAAGCTCACCTACACCAGTCCACTAGACCAGTGCCTGCTACAAAGCTCACCTACACCAGTCCACTAGACCAGTGCCTGCTACAAAGCTCAGCTACACCAGTCCACTAGACCAGTGCCTGCTACAAGGCTCAGCTACACCAGTCCACTAGACCAGTGCCTGCTACAAGGCTCAGCTACACCAGTCCACTAGACCAGTGCCTGCTACAAAGCTCAGCTACACCAGTCATACGTCCTGGATTTGTTGGTTATCATTCATGGCTTTCGCGAACACCTGTTGTCATCACTGATTTTCACTGAGCCGTTCATATAATTGTCATCTCTATTTGGAATCTGTTTCGGCAGATAATCGAGATAATTCTCTGTGGTCACGTTTTTTGTGTGCATTTTGTTAGAGGGGAATACAAAGGGTCGAGTAGTAAGACCTCGATGACGTGGGTCGTTTCTCTGGTCCACAATCAATACACAGGCCTCTGCGATACAGATGGAATGTTGCTGACTGCTGTGTAAAACAACATTCACTCCACTATTCCAAGCACATAGTCAGCGTGATAGGTTTGATGATAAAGTACTCATTCTGATATTTCTCCCATTTCAGGATCAGGCAATGGATCTTTTGTGCCGCTCCAGCGAAGCCTACACCACTGCCTATCAACTTGGTCATTTGAAGGTCAAGGATGACGTCAGACACGTCCGCCATGCTCTGTGTATGTGTCAGTTTGTAGAGAAAGAACATGTCGGGAAACTAACGGCCATCCCACCGGAAGTCGTGTGAGTTGAGGCTCAGCCTTAACAGACGTACTGACAATGGCCCATGGGTTGACGGTGAGCAGGTAGAAGGTGTTGTGACATTCAGGATGCCGGCGTGAACCGGGGCGTCTGGACATGACAAGGTCGCCATGTGTGTTATTCACTTCTACAATATGTATGTCATCGTTAGTTGCTGTTGGATGTCACAGAACATTTGTTTGGTTCCTGAGTTCCGGGCGGACCTATTGTTGACCGAGAAAATACTCCAGCGGGTAATACTTAAAATGGATTGCAGAATAATAAAACGAAACGTGCATATCTAGGCAGATCTCAAATGTCTAGAAACGGATAGTTTTGCTCATTTAATTGAGTTTGAATCAAAGTGTATCTTCAGCAACTGACTGACTGATTTATGGGTTTTATGTCCGCTTTGCATTTATTGCATTTCGCGGACGGGGTAGGTGGGGAAGTAATAATAAATAAGTTAAATACGAAAATCACCATACACAAAAAACTATAACTTGCCGGGGAGTAACCTATGTTAACCTAATGAAAGTACTAGATAGTATTATTACTAGGGGTGTTATTATTAATGAGAGACTTGGCCCTTACTATATCTTACCGGGGAAAGGTAGGGTGAGGGTACAGCATATTGGGTAATTGAAGGTATGCAGTTTGGCTGCATTATTTAAATATGGGGAATAATTTAATAAAGAAAGAAAAAGGCGTTAAATAATGGAGCTGTATAAGCCGGTATTCCCGAGAGGGGGTGGGGGGAGGGCGGGGGGATTATGACGTGGTTAGTTGGCGAGCGGTGTGGGCTTGTGGTCGGAGCTGGCTGGTTTAACGGGTTTCTTGAGTTGGTGTGTGGATAACTGGGGTTTTAGGCGCGGACGTCGGAGAGGACGACGCGTGTTGGAAATTTGGATCCCGATCCGAAAGTTTAGGGAGATTGTTAACTAGGGCGGAGTAGTTTGGTATAGTTTTGTTTGGGAGATTCTAAATTCTATCTTCAGCAATGTAATGAACTGATAATTATAGCTACATTTCTTAAGAAAATCTATGTCAGAAGTGTTCGGTCCGACTTGGCCCGGGCTGTCAAAATCAACTTAAAACCTCACAGATGTATCATCAAATGGATTCACATCTATAGATTAGTATTATATCCACCTAACTACCTCTTTATAGTGTCTCAGATCGCTCTATTTAAAGAAATCAAGGTGCTCAAAGTGAAGCCCTTTTCCCTTTACATTCTCAACATAGTCTCTATCAGAAGTGTTTGGCTTGTGTTGGGTCCGACTTGGCCCGGGCTGTCAAAATCAACTTTAAACACACAGACGTATCTTCAAATGTGTTTACATCTATAGTTTAGTGTTATATCTACCTATATACCACTTTATAATGTCACAGTACATCGGATTTAAAGAAAACAAGGGGCTAAAAGTGAAGCATTTCTGCTGTAATTTCTTAAGAAAATCTCTGTCAGAAGTGTTCGGTCCGACTTGGCACGGGCTCTCAAAATCAACTTTAAACACACAGATGTATCTTCAAATGTATTTACACCTATAGATTAGTGTTATATCTACCTATGTACCACTTCATAAAGTCACAGTTTATCGCATTTAAAGAAAACTATGAGTTCAAAGTGAAGCCCTTTTTCCTCTACATTCTCAAGAGGACTAGTATTATATGTACCTATATAACACTTAATAATGTCGCACGATAACTCAAAGAAAACTGGTCTGTTAAAGTCGAGCACTTTCACTGTATCTTCTCAAGAAATTTTCACCAAATGTGTTGGAGTGAAGTATACTCTTTACTTACTTACTTACTTTGGAGATCTAACGTGCGCTTTCCGACTGATGCGTATTTCGCACACGGGCCCGGCCAGGCCATTTAATGTGTTTCCAAAAGGGGCGAAAGTGGTCTGTGCAACCCAAGAGGGGGCTTTAGGGGTTGCTTATATAGAATTTGGGAATTTTGAGATTTGGAATAGATGCCGATGGGGTTGGGGAGGAGAACTAAGGGAGCTGGGTGTGGTGGATGTTTGTTTGTTTATGTGATTTTGATTTGGTAGGTTATTGTGTTTTGTGATACGTTTTATTAGTTCCGTTTTGATTAAGAATACGCCTAAGGCCTTGAAGTTTTCTAGTTTATTTTGTGGGTTTAGCATTGCTTCTAGAGTCAGAGCCTTGTTTAGATTGAGGGTGGTTTGTAATGCGGCTCGATGTGTTAGGTAGTGTGTGCAGTGGATGAGTGCGTGTTCTGGGGTTTCTAGTTGTTTGCAGTGTGGGCAGTTACCTGTAGTGTGTTTTTTAATTTTTTTAGGTGGTTATTTAGGTTGGCGTGTACTGTTTGGAGTTTAGTGATTACTCTGTCGAATTTTTTTGATGGATGGAGAATTTTTTGTTTGGTTAGTGGTTTGCTGAGCACTTTTTTGATTTGGCTATTTGAATTTAGATATAGGTTATGCCATTTTTTGTGATTTTTGGCTTGTTTACACTTTTAATTTCTGATTTTGAGATGGGTAAGTTTAAGCTTATTTCTGGGATTTTGAGGGATAGTTTGGCTGCTTTATTGGCGTTTTCATTTTACTCTTTAAAGTTAAGCCTTTTTTTCATGGTATATGCCTGGTCGGAAAATCCCTTGCTTTTACCTAATCCGTCGTGTTTTTTTTCAAGGATCATACTCACAGGGTAGCACTTGGAGAAGGTAAGGTGATACACTTTGCATTTCAGGATAAACCTCTCCCTCAACCCTGCTTAATGTTTCTATTATCTATGAGTGTGTTTAGGAAAACAGGATTATCTGAGACAGTTGTAATCTGCCATACCTCGAGAATACGTGCTGCATCTCCGAGCAGCTCGTTCTGTGAAAACACACTTCTCCTGAACCTGACTTGGACCACTCAGTATTATTGTCGTGATGGTTAAAAGACGCCATAAATTAAAGTTCTCTATATATCTATCAACTTTTTTCATATAAGCATATAAGCTGTACCTCCAAAAATATTGAAGCAAACGTAGGAAACCTTGAAACCCAAGTAATCTCAATAAAACTGGCAAATGGCAACGAATTACACATACCTAACATATATCACAGGGTTACCCATGAAACGAACATGGAAGAGCTAACAAGGCTAGCTCAAATAGTAGGCAAAAATGGGATAATCCTTGGTGACTTTAATGCCCACAGCCCTCTTTGGGAAGACAGGAATGATTCATGCAAGTACGGCAAAATGGTAGAGAAATGGGTTGAGGACGACAATCTCATAACTCTGAACAATGACAGTCACACACGTTATGACCAAGTCCACAATACGTGGAGTTCAATTGATCTCACAATTGCCACCAAAAACCTCGCCTCACATTGCCAATGGCAAGTCCATGACGACACTTGGGGAAGCGATCACCTTCCTATACTCACCTACATAGGTAGCCCACCACAATTAGAGGAACAGCCCAGTCCTCAGCCCATATGGGACTATGCAAAAGCTGACTGGCCTAAATTCAGGAAGGAATGTATATCATTCAAGTCCTCAGAAATTGCCTCGGATGATCCTGATCCTTTTTGCCAAAATCTCACCTCAAGCAACTATTGCCGCAGCTGAAAAATCAATTCCAAAAAGACCACAAAACTGGCAAAACGCCAGTACCATGGTGGAACAGGGAAATAGCAAACGCTAGGAGAGTGAGAAAGAAAGCCCTAAAAAGGTCAAAAAGGGATAAATCAGCCTTCGCCCAAGTCCGAGCAGCCAGGACGAAAGTAAGACAACTCATAGACGAATCTAAAAAAGAGTCATGGCAGACCTTCTGCAAATCCCTTAATGAGAAAACAAATGCTAAAACAGTCTGGAGCAAAATACACGCAATCAGGGGTAAGCGTAAACCCACAAAAATTCCCAAGTTAGCCAACGCCCATACAGTCAAAGAAAAGGCCAACATTCTAGCTGAGCACTTCTCATCTGTCAGCAGCAACACAAATTGCAGCGAAGAATTGAAACAGGAAAAAAAGCTTTTGCCTAAGATCTCAAAACGCATGCAAAGCAAGCATCTGGTATACAATATACCATTTACTGTGACAGAGTTTGATTATGCGATACAACATAGAAAAGGCACAGCACCTGATCTTGACACAACCAGCTACGAGATATTGAAAAACCTACCTGATCAAACCAAAGGCTTACTCACTGAGTTGTATAACACGATATGGTCCAAAGGAGAAGTCCCAAAAGCATGGACACATGCTGCGGTTATCCCGCTGCTAAAGCAAGGGAAATACGAAGCCCTACCAAACTCTTATCGACCGATCTCACTCACCTCAAACATGTGCAAAGCCATGGAAGCCATGGTTACAAAAAGGCTCATGCATCATCTTGAAACTGGCAACCACATAAAACCTGACCAAAGTGGCTTCAGGAAGGGACACTCGTGTCTAGATCATATTCTAAGACTGAAAAATGAAATAAAAAAAGCCCAATTAAACAGACAATACCTAGCCGCAGTATTTCTGGACTTCAGCAAAGCCTTCGACATGGCATGACAGACTCCTCTCACAACTATCACAAAATGGAGTTGAAGGGAACATGGCAAACTTCATAGACAGCTTCCTGCAAAACAGGTCGCTATCAGTTAAAATAGGGAACAATCGATCGGATCCTATGGCACTGGACAATGGCACGCCACAAGGCAGCATTATAAGCCCAACCCTGTTTAATATCATGATCAATGATCTTTTTGACCATGTCAACTCTCCTGCCCAAACTTCTAAGTTCGCTGATGACGGAGCAATATGGGTAAAGCACAGAGATATCTCACAAATCAGAAAAAAACTCCAGTCAGCCCTGGATGGAGAAGATCAATGGTGCAATAAATGGGGATTCGCCCTTTCAAATGAAAAAACTGTTGGAGTTCTATTCAAACGCCGGGGAAAAGATGCTATGATACCCCGTGTCTCCATTAAAGGCAAACCTATCAAATTCGAAAAATCTGCAATATTTCTTGGGGTTATCCTTGATCAACACCTCATATGGTGCAAGCATATAGAATATGTGGAAAACAGATGTCAAAAAGACCTGAACGTATTGCGGGCAATTTCAGGCACATCTTGGGGCACATCGAGGGACACTCAGCTGGACCTCTACAAAGCTCTAATCAGATAAAAAATTGACTATGGTTGTGAGGCTTTTCATTCAGCATCAAATGCTGTCTTGAGGCGCCTAGACAGAATACCATACAAAGCCCTAATGCTGGCCACAGGTGCACAGACAGGCACCTCACTAGAAGCACTACAAGTAGAAACGGGAGAACTCCCACTGAAACTAAGAAGAGAGCAGGCAATATTATCGTTCTGGGGACGAACATCAAACCCTTTGGTTAAAAAGATATGGCAAGACAAAAACGCTCGAGATGAAGCCCTAGCTTGAAAAAATCCCTCACTAAAGCCATCTGTGATATTAGTACGTGAACTCATTCGAAGTCACAATTGCGATGACATTCAGCCTCCAGAAAGTCACTACAAAGGGTTACACCCTCCCTGGACTTTACAAACTCCCAAAGTTGACACTGCTTTAACATCAGAAGTCACTAAAAGAGAAAACCCAACCCTACTACGATCAGTAGCTATCATTAAAATTCAAACTACCTGGGACAGCTGGGCCCATATATACACTGATGGATCCAAGAATCCTATCAACAACAGTGCTGGTTACAGGATCCATATCCACAACTCCAAACCCCAAGCACATTCAGTTCGCTTGCCTGATGGTCAGTCAGTATTCACGGCTGAATTGGAGGCAATTCATCATGCACTCAAAGTCATACCGGAACTCCCGGAAGCAAAGGCAGTCGTCCTATCAAACTCGCTAAGTGCACTTCAGGCCATCAGTGGGAGAAACTCAAACTCCAGGCCAAACACAGTCAACAATATTCTATACGAATATACAAAACTATCGGACCAAGTGCAACAGGTGCAGCTGTGTTGGATCCCCTCTCACATAGATATCCATGGAAATGACTCACTGTCGAAGCTAGCTCTAGACAAAAGTGGATATACAGCCTATTCCCATTAGTAAACTAGAGATAAAAAGCAAAATCAAAGCCTCCATAGCAAAAAGATGGCAAGCCCAATGGGACGCAATTAAGATCGGCAGATTGCTATACAAAAATCAACCCAAGGTCCAACAAAAGCCAAACTCATTCTCAAATGAAAGGAAAATTGAAATTGCTATCTCACGACTCAGACCTGGTCACAAAAAGCACTATGACAAGGTTTTTTCATCTTGCAATCAGGCTGAAACCATTGACCACGTGTTACTAGAATGTCAAGACCATGCCCCAGCCCGGGCTAGGTTAAAACAAGAATTGCAGATCGATCCGCTATCTGTCATAGATCTCCTAAAGCCAAGAGATGAAATAGCGAAGGCCAAACTAACTCTATTTCTGAGAGATGGACAGCTGCTCGAACGTATATAAACAGAGCAGCCAAGGATATAAATGAAATCATATCAATATGAGAAAATAGAAATCATATCAATGCAAAAACAGAAATTATGTTAACACCGAACTCACAATAGATATGTGAACCCAAAGAGGGGCAGGTCAGCTGAAATTGCCTAGGCAGAAGGCGACCTCTTAAACACCTAATGCAACAACAACAACAACAACAACAACATATAAGCAACCCCTAAAGCCTCCTCTTGGGTTGCACACACCACTTTCGCACCTTTCAGAAACACATTAAATGGCCTGGCCGGGCCCGTGTGCAAAATACGCATCAGTCGGAAAGCGCACGTTAAATCTCCAAAGTAAATAAGTTAGTAAGCAACTTTGTTTTACAGTCGTGATGTTTAAGATTATTAACCACCCGGGACAAGTCGATCCGACAGGTTGAATGATACGCAAGATGCAAAATGAAGTAAACGCTAGTAGGTACAGAAACTGAAGTAAGTTGGGCTCTCTTAGTTTTCTGTATGCGTACACATCATCACGTCATACTGGATTTAATTTAGTTTCTTATTCTAATACTGCTAATCTTTGTCAGTGGCCAGTGAAAGTATCACAAGGGAAAATTCCAATATATACAAAATATACATTTTGTATATATGGTATGCCCCAAAATATACAATTTTGTATATATGGTATATCCAAAAATATACAAATTTTGTATATATGGATAGATTTTACCACTGCTTTACTCAGTTCCTTTTTACTGGATTCTCACAATATGTGGTTGATATTGAAAATATTACTAATTATACCGGACAGTATTATTGCATGTGACAAATATACTTTAAAACTATGTTCATTATGACAACTATATTTGGAGTGTTTTACATAATAAAGTAATAGAAGATTTCAGCAGACTTTTGTAACTGTTCGATATATAATACGTTCGCCTACTGTTTACAAATAAGATGATCTATACATACAAGTAGTTCAGAGTAGTTTTAAACAGTGACGGTAAAATATATTTATCGTGAATAGCGGCAAATATAAATATATACAATTTAATATATATGTTTCTGTTATGTCATGGTATGTTGATTCTGAATCTAAAATATTGCTTGATATTGTTTGCCAAACAGTTGTATGCACTGTCCATCGTGATACCTCTACTTAAGTGTATAAAAAAGGATGTTTGTTTAGACATGCGTTCATTGTAAACAACGGCGCCGTGTTTTCGTTTGCTGGTTAGCTTTTACAGGTCAAAAGCAAAGTTAATGGCATTACTTTCGTGACGCATTTTAGGCCTGTCATACAGTTCCTGAAACAAATATATCCAATACAGCCGATGCAAATCAATCATATTTGGCAAGACTACATTACTGCAGTTATATATTTTATCAATATAATCAAACAATTGTTTTTTTTTGTGTAAAATATATGTTCATTTCAGAAACTAGATGTTAGTCTAGCCAGCGGTCTAAACTCGCATTAATTTGGTTACACGTTTCATGATTTACAGTATTCGTGAAGAATATGTAACAATTAGCCACAATTAGAGCCTTTGGTAGGAGAAGAGGGAATGATAAGCATAGACCTCCTAAGTATTTTATGATATTTATGATAGCTCAAAAGAAACTTTGATTTATGTTTGTAGTACACCCCAAAGAGAGGGATAACACAGGTGATATATTAAGATGACATACAACTTATAGATACTTACGTGTATAAACTACTATCAAACAGTGAGGATAACAGGTGTTTGCATAGAGGTGAGTGTATCCTGAACCATCGGTTGAGCAAACACATGCAAAGGCAAGTTAGTTGTTAAACCCGAAAAACACAGAAACGATTAACACAAGTCAAAACAGAGAATTTCATCAGACATTACTCCATTTGCTACTTCTGTGGTAATGACCAATCAACCCATTTATACTTCCAAAAATAGCTTTAACCCTTTTAAAGCTTTTGAGAAATTCAACAGTATGGGTTTGGTCTGACAAAGCAAGAAGCACAAATGGGGCATGTTTCGGCCAATGATTAGAGTATTCTTGCAAGTCTAAGAGCCCAACAGGAGTTATTTCTGCGACATGCTATTTCAAAACCCAAAATTCAGAGGGATATATATGAAAATAAAAATTGAAATAATACAAATATAAATACCTTCCAGGCGAAGGCTATCACTTGAAATCAAATTAACAAAGCAGATTTTAGTCAATGACACATCGCTTGGGGTAGAAGTTCATCTCTGTCACCATGCTATGGTATTTCTGGAAAGGAAAGTTAACTTACAAAGTTGTAATATACGTGAAAGGCTTAATGTTGCGCAAAGATATAAACTCTAACTGACTGCTCAGTAACATTCATGTAATATTAGTAATATTCAAATAAGTGTACTTGTTCTAGGTGTGTGTGACGTGGGTACATTGTGACCTGTGTCACAGAAGGTCAGTTATAATCTCAGAAACCGCCATGATTTTGTAGTTCCATTTGCACGGACATCTACGTTTAAAAGGTCTTATATTATAGATACATTAGGCCAATGGAATAATCTATCATCAGGAATCAGGGATAGTCCGTCAATATCTTATTTTAAAGCTGACGCATCTGAGCAGCCTACATTACCACCTATGCACTATAATTGCGGTGAAAGATCTACAAACATATTGCACACTAGATTGAGACACAATTGTAGCACACTAAATTCCAACCTGTTTCGTGTTAATTATCTTATACTATTTCCTGTAAATGCGGAGCTCCTTGTGAAAATTCATTCCATTTCTTCTTCCAATGTACCTTATATGATGATATTAGGGAGACATTACTGACAGCTATCGATAATCTTGGAGGACAAAAAACTCTAATTTGTATTCTTTTTGTGATCCAAGCTTAGATGTTTTCCTGAATACAAAAATATTCTTGTCTGTACACAAATTTATAGAAACGAGTAACAGATTCAGTAGCTAGCATATTATTGTTTCCAAACTGTTAATCATTAATATTGTTAAATCTATATACAACACTAACATGTATAATATTAGGATATGTACGAGATGCACACTGTTTCACTTTCCAGCACATTGTACATATCCTTCATATGAGCACTGTATATAAATTTATATTGCGCACTATGTTTCCACAATGTGATGCTTCAACTGTAAATTGTTAATTTTCATTATGCAATATTATGTATAACTGTATTTTGGGAGAAGGTGGTAATAAGTGCTGCACTTGTGCCCAATCCCTTGGTCTTTTTGGGCAATACAATATGTTTAATAATAATAATAATAATAATAATAATAATAATAATAATAATAATAATATGCAAACAATGTATTATGATCAAAGCCATTGGTATCCCTTCAGCAAGTGCGAATCAGGTCCTAACACATCTGTTTTGTCATGTATCACGCGCTATACAGTCGAACCTCGCTTATCCGGACAATTTTCTAAAATGTTGTCCGGATAAACGAGTTTCTGGATATATGAATACCTTGTTAACTGACCAGAAGTCCTTCCCCTACCTCAGTTCTACCGAGGCATATGTGAAATGAATGGCAAAAATATGACTTATGAAGGATCTACCAATTACTAATAAAATACATTGTGCTGTACAGACCTACACAGCATGCTGTGACAGTGCACTGCATTATTGAAACGGCTGAAGAAATGCATATGTAGCCTAGTTTAGACTATGCACTTGTTTTGTGTACAGATACGACGGCGAGGTTGGGGCAACCTGACACACATGAATATTAATAGCCATGTTTACCTGTACTAGTTGAGAGCAAAGGTTGAAGTCATTCATGTGTGAAAAATGTTGTCGAGGCATCTGTAAACGGCTAAAGAAATGCAAATGTAGCCTAGTTTAGACTATGCACTTGCTTTGTGTACAGATGTGACGGCGAGGTAAGGGCAACCTGACACACATGAGCATTAAAAGCCATGTTTACCTGTACTTGTAGTTGACTGCCAAAAATGCTGTCGAGGCATCTGTACATCTTCTTTGTCAAATTGCATTATTAAAGTACATCAAGATGAGACATCATATACATTCATATATATTTGTTGAGCACGAAACCTTGAAGTGTAGCCAGGACATTTCCTCGAAACTATGGGCGGCCATGTAGCTTCAATATCTTATAAATTATATCACTGAACATAGGTCAAGGTGTATTCAGTAAACAAAGGTCTGAAAGGGTGTATTTCCTTCACCGAACACACTATGCGTTCATCACAGTTTGTGACGGATTACGGATACGAACGAACTGGCACTTGTTTGGCAGGTAGGTTTTGTTAAGATTTGTTATCTTGTTCTCTCTCTACCCTCTACTTCCTTAATCACAATTTAAATCCTAAATAGACTTTCGTGCCCAACACTGTGGCAATTTTAGACCCTCTGTTTCTGTATTTACTAGTCATCAATGATGTCAAAGCTGTCTGACATGTTTCTTAAGTGACTTAAGCACAAAAATACGCGAACACTTGTGACACAGAATTTCTTAAGAAAATACAGTAAAAATGCTTCACTTGATGATACATCTGTGAAGTTTAAGTTGATTTTGACAGGCCGGGCCAAGTCGGACACAACAAAAGACAAACACTTCTGATAGAGACTATGTTGAGAATGTAAAGGGAAAAGGGCTTCACTTTGAGCCCCTTGTTTTCTTTAAGTACAGCGTTCTGAGACACTATAAAGTGGTATTTAGGTAGATATAACACTAGTCTATAGGTGTAAACACATTGAAAGATAGATCTGTGAGGTTTAAGTTGATTTTGACAGCCCGGGCCAAGTCGGACCGAACACTTCTGACAGAGATTTTCTTAAGAATATACAGTAAAAATGCTTCACTTTGAGCACCTTGTTTTCTTTAAGTACAGCTATCTGAGACACTATAAAGTGGTATTTAGGTAGATATTATACTAGTTTATAGATGTGAATCCATTTGATGATACATATGTGAGTTTAAAGTTGATTTTGACAGCCTGGGCCAAGTCGGACCGAATACCTGTGTGACTGTTGAGAGTATAGGGAGAAGAGGTCTACTTTAACCAACGTGTCTGCTTTAAATATGACGATCAGTGACATTATAAAGTGGTATTTACTTATATATAGAACGTTCCTATAAATATAAACACTATGCGCACAGATGGAACGTTGTATCACGATAGCTAGAAGTATTTGATACGTTTCAAATCTTATTTCGTTTAACGATTGCTCTTTTACATGTTACCAAGATCAGCGACGCTTACACACTGCTCCACTTTCTGGTTTTCAAGCGATTTACTCCGAATTACTTATTTATGGTGCACATTTTTGTTTGGTGATTGTTCATTAATGTCATGTGTGTATGTTGCCGATAATGAAGTAATTAGCCAGTAACACTTTGGCCCGTCTTGGCCCGTCCCGGCCCGACTTTTCGGCAATGCCGGGAATACGGGCAGAATTCTTTTCATATTTTTGACCGTCGTCAATAAACCCGCCTTACTTACAACGACCCGTGTTATTTGTGAACACCCCCAGGTACACTGTTTCAGCTGCTGAGTATCTGTAACGATGTGACACTTTACTGACCTACTTTACTGACCTACTTTCTGCAATGCAAATTTGAAGCTCGTGCATTACGAATACACTGGCAACATCACTCAAAGCGCACATAATGCACGAGCAGTACGAAAACACGGCTAGTGCATATTTCCGTGCAGCATTGTGTTGTGTTCAGTTTCATTGATTGCATGATGTTTTTATCGTTCATGTTGATGACGCAGTAGTTTGTTACTGTGATGCTGTACTGTAAGTCAGATAGCGTACACGGCTCCGGAATGTCCCGCGCTTACCTTAACGTAAGAAATACTATATAAGAAACGCCCAGTTTGAATGCGAATCAAACACGTCAAGCAGATACTCTTTGCTCAACAATCCCCTGATTTGCCACTTAACCATACCTCACTACATCAAACTGCGAAATCCGACGCATGTTTGGCTAACACCCCGGGACAGTGGGCAGATTGCACAGATCTTTGACAATGATCGAGGTCATTAGAAAAAACAAACACATAAATAAGTGTTTTACATGATCTTCAAATTTATTAAATATCTCTATTCTCAACCTGTCACAGAACATCTTTTGCTTTGGGACAGCTATGTAAAGGTGAAGGACATCAAAGGTGAAGGTTGCGTCCCTTGGGCACGCCAGAAACCTATGATTGTGGGTTCGAATCCCGGTTCGCGCCGATTATGCTTCTAGGTTTGTCAGCACCATACCCGTGCTCGTGGGTTCCACCGAAGTGGTAAACGTCTGAGACCTGCATCACTTCGGGCTATCCTCCCACATTAAGCTGACACGCTGTGATATAACTGGAATACTGTTAAAAGCGGCGTTAAACACGACTCACTCACTCACTCTTCAGAGATATTTTACCGGCATGACATAAAACAATAACACGGGCAGGGGATGTACAGGAACTATAGAGTGAATAAGAATTAAACAACATAGCAGCATTCGGGCGACTATTCTCGCCCCGAGAAGCCTCATATACAAACGACTTTAGCCCTAACGTTGAGGATTTATCCAGGGGGATCTCCGCCATTATTTCTTGCGTGGGGGTAAAGGTCGGTTGTTTTAAGGTTAATAAAGTTTTGAATGCAACTTGGAATTCTTTGCGACAATTTTGAACAATTCCCGAGCCATGTCCTTTAAGCTATTGACATAAAGAAAGTTAGAGCCATTATTTCAGAAGCTCCAAAAAGGGACTGTAATTAAACTTAGATATTGTGAAGGTTTTGCAAATAACAATCTTCCCCTGCCTGGTGAGGTGACGGCGCATGCGTCTCAATACTGCTAGTTGTTTTGCGGCCTTTCTGCATATTTCAGCAATGTGGCTTTTATACGTTAGCAAGGTGGCTAAAGTCACACCAGGCAGGACAACACTGTCATCTCAAGCTAAACTGAGGGCCAAAAGAAACGTTACCAACATTAACTGATTTACCACTTTATAACAAAGATGCCAACCTGTTCAAAAACAGTAAAGAACACATCTCACGAATACAGCCTTCATGTTCTCTGTTGTTCTTTGCACGTGCTTTGCGGATTTTGGAAGAAATTTGTGTTTTTCAGCAATTTTTTAAAACATTCTTTCCCAAATTATCGTGCAATTTCCGGATATAAATTACGCACGGATCTGATCCCTATCATTGGTTGCGATGGTTAACACCAACTAACATGCCAAGACTGACCGCTGTCCAGAGGGAGAGAGCCATAGGTCGGTATTGGCTCCCTGTCTACTGGATATTGCCTCCCTCTCTACTGGGTATTGGCTCCCTCTTTACTGGGTATTAGCTCCCTCTCTACTGGGTACTGGCTCATTCTCTACTGGGTATTAGCTCCCTCTCTACTGGGCATTGGCTTCCTCTCTACTGGGTATTGGCTCCCTCTCTACTGGGTATTGGCTCCCTGTCTACTTGATATTGGCTCCCCCTCTACTGGGTATTAGATCCCTGTCTACTAGGTATTGACTCCATCTCTATTGGGTATTAGCTCCCTCTCTACTGGGTATTGGCTCCCTGTCCACTGGGTATTAGCTCCCTCTCTACTGGGTATCTCCCTCTCTACTGGGTATTAGCTCCCTTCCCTACTGGGTATTGGCTCCCTCTCTACTGGATATTGGCTTCCGCTCTACTGGGTATAAATTCCCTCTCTACTGGGTATTGACTGTTTCTCTATTGGATATTGCCTCCCTGTCTACTGTGTATTGGTCCCTGTCTACTGGATATTGGCTCCCTCTCTACTAGATATTGGCTCCCTCTCTACTCGGTATTGGCTCCCTGTCTACTTGATATTCCCTCCCTCTCTATACTGGGTATTGGCTCCCTCTTTACTGGGTATTAGCTCCCTCTCTACTGGGTACTGGCTCCTTCTCTATTTGATATTAGCTCCCTCTCTACTGGGTATTGGCTCCCTCTCTACTGGGTATTAGATCCCTCTCTACTGTGTATTGACTCCTTTTCTATTCGGTATTAGCTCCCTCTCTGGGTATTGGCTTCCTGTCTGACTGGGTATTAGCTCCCTCTCTTCTAGGTATCTCTCTCTACTGGGTATTGGCTCCCTGTCTACTGGGTATTGGCTCCCTGTCTATTAGATATTGGCTCCCTCTCTAGTGGGTTTGGCTTCCTCTCTACTGGGTATTGACTGTTTCTCTATTGGATATTGGTTCCCTCTCTACTGGGTATTGGCCCCCTGTCTACTGAGTATTGGCCCCCTGTCTACTGGGTATTGGCTCCCTCTCTACTGGATATTGGCTTCTATCTAGATGGTATTGGCTCCCTCTCTACTGGGTATTGGCCCCCTGCCTACTGGGTATTGGCTCCCTCTCTACTGGGTATTAGATCCCTCTCTACTGTGTATTGACTCCTTTTCTATTGGGTATTAGCTCCCTCTCTACTGGGTATTGGCTCCCTGTCTGACTGGGTATTGGCTGCCTCTTATATAGGTATTAGCTCCCTCTCTACTGGGTACTGGCTCCTTCTCTATTTGATACTAGCTCCCTCTCTACTGGGTATTGGCTCCCTGTCTACTGGATATTGCCTTCCTCTCTACTGGGCATTGGCTTCCTCTCTACTGGGTATTGGCTCCCTCTCTACTGGGTATTGGCTCCCTGTCTACTTGATATTGGCTCCCCCTCTACTGGGTATTAGATCCCTGTCTACTAGGTATTGACTCCATCTCTATTGGGTATTAGCTCCCTCTCTACTGGGTATTGGCTCCCTGTCCACTGGGTATTAGCTCCCTCTCTACTGGGTATCTCCCTCTCTACTGGGTATTAGCTCCCTTCCCTACTGGGTATTGGCTCCCTCTCTACTGGATATTGGCTTCCGCTCTACTGGGTATAAATTCCCTCTCTACTGGGTATTGACTGTTTCTCTATTGGATATTGCCTCCCTGTCTACTGTGTATTGGTCCCTGTCTACTGGATATTGGCTCCCTCTCTACTAGATATTGGCTCCCTCTCTACTCGGTATTGGCTCCCTGTCTACTTGATATTCCCTCCCTCTCTATACTGGGTATTGGCTCCCTCTTTACTGGGTATTAGCTCCCTCTCTACTGGGTACTGGCTCCTTCTCTATTTGATATTAGCTCCCTCTCTACTGGGTATTGGCTCCCTCTCTACTGGGTATTAGATCCCTCTCTACTGTGTATTGACTCCTTTTCTATTCGGTATTAGCTCCCTCTCTGGGTATTGGCTTCCTGTCTGACTGGGTATTAGCTCCCTCTCTTCTAGGTATCTC